AACAAATACAAGGGGGTTAGATATAACCGATCAAATGCAAACTGCAGCATACGAAAGAATGTAGATCCAATACTGATCCAGATTAAACGTGAAGTGAATACAATTATTTTGTAATTTTTGCAGCAAATCGATGGAAATAATAACTGAATATAAAAACTGAATAACAGCTAAAACTAACACTAGACCTAGAACTGGAAACATAACAACTAAAACTGAATAATAACTAGAACTAACAAAAGACCTAGCACTAGAATCATTCGGGTTTAGCCGTCTTGAGAGACGTGTGGCTAAACCCAAAAGTTTCTAGTTCTAGGTCTAGTGTTAGTTCTAGTTTTACACTATCACTAGAACTAACACAAGACTTAGAACTAGAATCATTCGGGTTTAGCCGTCTTGAGAGACGTGCGGCTAAACCCGAATGATTCTAATTCTAGGTCTAGTGTTAGTTCTAGTATTGCACTATCACTAGAACCGTCTTGAGAGACGTGCGGCTAAACCCGAATGATTCTAGTTCTAGGTCTAGTGTTAGTTCTAGTATTGCACTATCACTAGAGCCGTCTTGAGAGACGTGCAGCTAAACCCGAATGATTCTAGTTCTAGGTCTAGTGTTATTTCTAGTTTTACATTATCACTAGAACTAACACAAGACCTAGAACTAGAATCATTCGGGTTTAGCCGTCTTGAAAGACGTGCGGCTAAATCCGAATGTTTCTAGTTCTAGGTCTAGTGTTAATTCTAGTTTAGAATTAGAAACTCAGAGTTATCATAAGGTCACCTTTTCTAAGCAAAACTTTTCCTTTCCAAAACTACCCAATGCCCATTGCAAGTGCATAGTAGTTTTGCAACTATGGTTACTGCATTCATATATTGAGAGTTATATATTATTATTATTATATGAGATGATTGATACTCAGAAATAATAATGTTAAAAATAAGATTGGAAAAGTTTTTTAATTAAAAAAATAGTGATTACAAGATAATTTTCGTTGTTAGGTTTTGCTAAGATAATTAAGATTAGAACACCCTGTATAATTATCTTATGAATAAGTGGTTCTCCGGGTTGCATATCACCCCATCCACCAATCCATAATCTAAAACGGGAAACAGTTTATAAACTAATTATCCTCGCTTCGTTCTTTGATAGATGGCTTACCGAAGCGTGGAACGGACCAAATTCCATTACAACTCCGAGCTTAGACACTGATTGATGCTTCACAAATAATTTACTTTCTTTGCTACTTCTCCGAAGTAGCTAAATGGCGAGAGGAAAAAAATAACCAGGCTGCTAGCGAAACGGGGTTGGAATGAATGTTGCAGCTGTCAATCCGACCCGGAACTAAATGACTTCTACTCTACTCTAGCTGCGGCTGTAGACCTACCTAGGTTGAGCGGGCAGCAGACTAAAATAAAAAGTAAATTCTTTGTTATAAATTAGTTGTAATTTTTTTATTATGAAGGATCCTGTTGAGTTAGGATTTAATGGAAGGGAAGTAGGTAGTAGGCAATAATGTTTATATTCCTTAAAGTTATCAGTAAAAATGAAAAGAGCTTTCATGAACAAAAGAGCGGACGGAGGCCGGGCGCGATGCGAAAACCCATTGTTGTGATTTGCAATTTGCGCTCGGTCCGGATATGGAAGCAAAGGAATAAAAGAAAAAATGTACGAGTTCGTATCCTAACAGTGGAGCTTTAAAAAATGGCAGGAAGCGAGAATTTCCAATACGTATTTTGCAATCGACTCGCGTAATACAGCCTACATAATGTATCTTTTAATGTCGGGTTTACTGGATTTACATGGGGAATTCGATTAGGGAGCGTTTTAGAGCCTCTTTGCTCGCGGGACGACGAAAAGGAATCGGTAATGAGGATACACTTTTGGACGGCGAGTTTTTCATTAAATTTTCGATACCATCTTTGTCCCCTTGTTTCCGGTCCTTTTTCCGGGTCTCTTCCGGCGTTGGCATCGGCCAAAATTAAAACACAACGAGTGCCGTCTATTTGTTTGCACGGCAAACCAACTCCTGGCGGCGCGTTGCCGTCGGGAATCGATACGTTCATCTCCTAAAGTGCAATCGAATCTATTTCCATAGTGGAGTTTAACATTTCTGCCCTGATAGAATACCATCGCGTCTCTATGGTAACCACTACTTCGCAAATATCCATTTGCCAACGTCTCCACTTATGACCACTTCTTGTTAATCAAACATCTGTCCACCAACTTGCTTTAGCATTTACTCCTAATTTGTTTATTACGTATTTGGTGACTTTGCGTCACATCGGAAAGCAAAATTGTGTTCTGTCACCATCCTGGGTGATAGTTTATCGATACCATTTAACCTACATACAACCTCGACGATGATTATTTCATAAAGCACGTCGCCGGATCGATAGTAATTATTTTCGGTAGTGGTCCATCTCCCTCGACGCCTAAATAAAACTCCGTTTTTGGTCTCCCGCTATCTCAAATCATGTACCGTTTCCACTTCGATTCCAGCTCGCATTGTTTGAATATTAAAGTAGCCAATGCGGGGAAAATATATTTTTGACAACCCTATAACTACAAGATTTGTTACCGATCGATGTAAACACGATCCGAACAGATGCGAATCTCATTTCCTTCGAAAACTACCATGTACAGAAATGTTCAAAATTACCTCACAAATACAGTTCTATACGCAAATCTTTTCACATATTTGAATTAATTTAAGCTTTGAAGTTTTAGTTAATCATTCATTAGATAATAGAGTTAAAAGATTCGGTGGGCATCTGAGTGCTGGGCGCATCTGATATATTACGTAATAAGGACGGACGAAGTAATAAGAGTGGAGCTAAGTAAGCAATGATGGCGCAATAAAACAATAAAGCACTTTACTTTATATAGTAGGTGCCACTAGGAAGTTTCTCAACAATTACCTAGGAGTAAATATTAGAAGCATCTGAGAGCGGCGGCGGTTACGGCGGGAGCTTTTTCTAATTAAGTTAAAGGAGGCGGCACGCAATATGGTAGGACGAAAGAGCGCCATCTGCGTCAGAAAGTCACATAACTAAGTTTCGTTTCGTTATTTGGCTACAGCATTTCCAATCAACTCATTGAAAATAAACTTTATCTTAAACTTGAAAAATATTTATACTTTTGAAACGAAAAGACAGCTATACTTCCAAGAAAAGGCTTCCCTCACACGTTTCCATCCTGATGCGAAGAACGGAATAAAAGAAAATATTCAATTTACCTAAACGCCCTTTCTTAAAGCGGTTAGCGCGGCGACTCCGAGAATTGAAAGACATCGTTTGGAATTTAAAAGAGTCCCTTTCATCTCGACCTCTCCCTTAAGAGAGCATAACAACGTTGATGCAGATAGCGTCGCGGTTTTCACGGCCGCGTAAAAACCGCGCTGAGTTCGAAAACCGTAAATAGGAGAATTTCTTCTTTCATCTACGCCGGGTTCCGTTGAAATATCGTCATTACAGTGATATAACCATTAGTATTAAGAAAACGTAATATCTTTTAGACTTGTATACAAAGATAAAACTTCAATATGTTTGTCTAAGTATAAATAAGCTGGATATATTAAGGCTGTTCGACCGCTACGACAAACGTATTTCCAATAATACGCAAGTATGCAACCAAATATGCAAATCGCGTATTGCAATACCAATACTGTAATATTGGTTGCATATTTGCAATGATGATTTGTATTTCCAATAATACGCGTTAACCGTTTGAAATATCAAAAAAAGTTTCAAACAAAAGTTGTTCAAAAATGGAAAATTTATACTTCTTTTGCGAGATATTTTATTAATTATTGCTAATTACCGAGATTATTAAGAAGCATTTTTAAAAGGGATTAGAAGAAGCGTAGATAATTATTAAATTAAATTAAACGAACACTTTTTCTAAATAACATTTTTTGGTATTGCATAAAATAAAGGAGGAAAATTTGAAATTCCCACGCAATATTTATATTACAATATTTCGGCGTGGGAATTTCTAATTTTCCTCCCTTATTTTATGAAATATCAAAAAATGTTATTTAGAAAAAGTGCTCGTTTAATAATTATCCACACCTCTTCTAAGCCCTTTTAAAAATACTTCTTAATAATCTCGGTAATTAACAATAATTAATCAAATATCTCGCAGAAGAAGTATAGATTTTCCATTTTTAAACAACTTTTGTTTGAAACTTTTTTTGATATTTCAAACGGTTAACGCGTATTATTGGAAATACAAGTCATCATTGCAAGTATGCAACTAAATATGCAAATCGCGTATTGCAATACCAATACTGTAATATTGGTTGCATACTTGCAATAATGACGTCTGGTATGATAATTAATTAACACACTGTAATAGATAGAGTTAGTTATTCTTTGACCTAGAACTTACGTTGATGTAAGACGGGGTCTTATTTTATGTGTAATCGCAAACGTTTTTTAAATAAATCTTCTATTCGTGAATTACGAATCATAATTTTACCTTCAAAAGGTAAATATTCGAGGATTTTACCGGAATTTAAGACTACATTTATTCTAAATTAAAAAAAAAACAAAATTTATCATATTACATCATTAATATAATTATTTGGGTAGACATTGTTGTTAAATTTAAAAACTATTATCAGTCAAAACGTTTGTTCGAAATGAAATTGGATATTGTTATCGAAAATGTAACGCTTCCGGTAATCGGAACGTCGAATTGTACGGTTCGTCGAAATTGTAAAATTGTTAATTAGCCTCGTTAATTAATTACATGTAGGGCACCCTTTTTGGAACTGGGCCGACTTTGCACATAGGCTCTAATTGCATTATTATCAATATTTACCAGAGAGAACGCTTTGATCTAATAATACTATTAACGGCGACGGCAGTTCATAATTTACCCAAGCTCGGGCACACATTTTGTGATGTACCAGCAAATCTCTCTCTCTCATGCGAATGAAATTCTTTTAATGAAAAACAGTAATCCCCCTATCAAAATCTATCACAATTATTTTTTGTTACAGATGCCTGGGATGTGAATGAAGTATAAAGGGACAAATGGAATCCTTGGTGCTTCTGGTGGCTAACATTATCATTCATGGTAAGTACAATTACATTAAAATCAATACAAAGAGACGTTTTATTGTGATTGATAAAAAGCTAGATACTGCGGAACACTAAATATTGCTGGCAGAAGAGTAAATACTGTTGGCAGAAGACGAAATACTATTGTCAGAAGTCTAAATATTGTTGGCAGAAGATTAGATGCTATATGCTATATTGTAGTCTGTAATGATGCAAGAAACCAAAAATGATGTGTTTGTAATTAATGATTAAAAATTTTAGTGATGTTAATTTAAAGGAAGTGTGGCCATTATTCACTCGGTTGAATTCCGGTTTGTGTTAAATGTATCAGAACCCATTCAGGGACACGGCCCGTTTTGAAATTAAGTGACGCGAAATGATGCCGCTCCGCTATCGCCATTTTGATAGCGAAGCCCTCTCGCACGCATTACTGATAATGCGCCCTGATACACAACTAACCCATTCATCTTGGTATATCGCGGCCAGGCCATGAATCACGATGCTCGGAGCGCCGCACACGCGGACAACTAGCAATCGGCGTTAATATTCAAAAATAAACCGACCGCCGCGACACGAGTGCCCCCTTTCGGTAGCACCCGAAATCAAACGCGTCGAATGGCGTTGCGAAAAGATTTATTTGGAACACGATATTTAGTTCTGTAACCCGTTTTTCATTGGTTAACGGCGACGTGTTTGATTATTAGTGATGCAGACTTGTATATTTACACAAACTAAATGCAAATAGATGGTTTATTAAAGTTTCAACATGATTCCTAAAATTGGCGCGGCCAAATCCATCTTGATTAATACAGTGTCTTAATTAATTATCGTATGCAACCAATATCACAGTATTTATTTTATAATACGTGATTTGCGTATTGCAGTACCAATACTGTGATATTGGTTGCATACTTGCAATGATGGCAAAGCTTTTTGTTGTAATCTGTTTTTTTTGTTAGTTACGTTGTGGTAGCTAGAAATTTGATGATTTCATCATCTTATTTCCGGATGTATAAGTAAATAAAAGAGACGGAAAGAGTGGATTAAGCCGAAGCGAGAAATAACTAAGTTACATAAAAACTGAGTTTTCGTCGCGGGGAAAATTGAAACTATAGAGAGAGCGGTAGAAAAACGATACACAATTGGATTAACCCTTCCCGGTTGAATGAGGGTTGGAGGCAAGATCGGAGAACGTCGCGAGTTCGGATGGAAGCAGAAATTGGTTGGACATGTGAGCGTGGCAGTTCTTGATCAAATACTTTATCTAAGAGAAGTCGAACTGAATAGATAAACTCGGCATGGAATAAATGGAAGTCGTCGCGGACCCGTTGGGAATTAGGGAGAAGTTTTTCAAACTAAAATCGAAAACACCGAACTTACGGATTCGATTAGAGCCGGCGAACGGTGCGGACGCGGCTTCCATGTCTTCGCCATTAACTTTCTCATTAAACGTGCACCCTTTACGCTCGACTTTATTACCGGTTGCTTTGGAGCACCCCCACCCCGTTAGCTCCAGGCTGTTTTTTCGCCGCCCCTCGGGAAAATACAATTTAAGTTTCGAGCGGTGCGCCGAATTACACCCGTGTTTATACCTTAATTACGCCCTCGATATTCGGCCTCGATGATTCAACAGGTTCACGAACAAACTCTAGTCCGCAGTCGAGAGAACGGCAGACGGCACGGAAAGTTTAATTGAACGTTATAAATTAAGGGAATTATAGCGCTAACGTTGCATAGATTTTCCCTTTCTAAACAATACCATTCACCACCATCTACCCTCGACTTTGCCGACAACTTCTTAATCGTTTCATTGTCGACTATAACTTACACATCCCAAACGTTCATATGTCTGGAATCGTTTCTCAGAAACTTCACCAAACAATTCCCCTTTTTGTATCTTATTACTTAAACATCCTCTGAAGATGATCAATAACAACCGAAACCTGTAAAATAAAAATTAATTAGATAGGGGCAAAAACGATATAAAATTCGTGAGAATGAACATTCAGTAGTTACGGGGAGAGGGGGTTAGAAGATAAATGTTTTGGCGGGTGGGAAAGTGCGGGTATCAGTTAGAAAGCTCACGGCCTTTTACAGTCTTAGCCGTGGTGGTTCTTCCGGAATTACTTTGAAAGTCATGAATGATCAACGAATGCCCGATAAAGTGGATGGGCGGCCGAAATATATACAGCTATTTGAACCTGGCCCTAATGAATTCTAAACCCGACCGGATTGAATTGGACGCCGCGGCGCCGCCGTCGCTAGATCGATAGTCGAACCGTATGAAATTCAACTAACGCCATCGGATTATCGAAGAAGGAGAGGCCTCAACCCCAATATTTTGTTTCCCTTTACAGTTTTTGCGCAAAAAAGAAAATCTTCTCTTGGTGACGTCACACCGTACCGGAGAGCGCTGGTAATAAAGCTCTTCTAATCGGCTTAGTTGCGTCTGCGGAACGGCTCCCCTATAACATTCAAAACGTGCGCTGCCACTGGAAACGGAAGAACCTCTAATACTCTTGTTATAATCGCGTTTTGTACTTGTTTCTCTTTTTCCTTTTTTATTATTTATTCTGAATGTCTACGAAAACATTAATAATAAAATTACTTGTACGACGAGAAACTCTAAACACCTCAATAATTAATCTACCAGTCCATCCAAAATTAATTTAATAACACGTAACGTCCACGTGGACAAGTTTGAATCAGTAATAAAGTTAGACTATCTACAGTGTGTTAATTAATTATCGTACCCGACCAAATATGCAGCCAATATCACAGATTGGTATTGGCAACGCGACGAAAGTTCCTAAAAACGATGGCGACAATTTATTAATAATTAAAAAAATATTTCTGTCAGAATATCTCATCATCATATTGAGATATGCAGCCAATATTACACAGGTCACGTGGGTTACGATAATTAATTAACACAATTGCAGTGTTGTGATAATGTGAAGTAATAAATATGTGAATAACAAAAATTGTACTTAAAAGTTGAAGTTGAGTCAGAAATAGAAAGGATTTGGAGGGTAGGTTATACACAAATACAACGTTATTTGATGAAGTTTCGATGCGGCCTCGCGGCTAATGAGGTTGGGAACACTTTAATGGGGTTGTCCGTTTGTGTGGGAGATGCGAAAGTTTGTGACGTTGTAAGTCGCGGCAAACTGAATTTCGTTTCACCGGATTTCAGAGCCGGATTTTAGTCCAGGCCGCGGGGGGACGCGGAGAAATAGGGGCTGCGATACATTATCGATGTTTATCGCGCTGTAACGCGCAAATTGGCGGCGATCCCGACAATTCGTTCAACGTTTTTCCTGCGGAATAGGTCGATAAATGCGACGCGCAAACAATGAATATTATATGAGGGCCGATGCAGGCGATATTTTGATTGCGCCCGTTTCGGGGTTTGAATATTTAGGCGAGTTACGGTCAGGTTGCGTTCGTATACACAAACGGGACGCCGAGACTTTTATTATTAGATTATTGTAGTTGCTCCGGGTCAATTATAATAGCACGGGTATTGCACTTGATAGTCAGTAGCGTATGAAGGGACTCCAACTCATCAGTCGGTAATTTGCATGTAGTAATCCGTTTAGGTAGTGTTCGCGTTGTCGAGCAAAGCAATACGCTGGATTAAACATGTTAATATGAAATTTACACTTCGTCGTCTCCACACTACGTTCAAAAAAAAATTCATGCCCAACGTCCACTTCAAAATTAAATTTAATTTATCCAACTCTAATTACATATATTCAACACAAAAATGCATTTTTACACACACACACATACATGCAGTATGTATATATACAGTATGCAACCAATATCACAGTACTCGTATAGCAATTCGCAAATCGCGTTATTGGTTGCATACTTGCAATATATGTATATATAAAACAGTTGGGTTAGGTTGTGTTGGTCGGGTGAACCCAACCCGATCCTCGATATACAGTGTGTTAATTAATGATCGTACCCGCAAGTATGCAACAATTATGACAGTATCGCAATACGCAAATCGCATATTACATATATACAGTATTGAGTGTGTTTTAGTTTTTGTTTTTATATTATTAAGAGTATAGATGTCAATAAAATAACGAAAATTGAAGAGGTGATAGTTCAAATAAAACTTCTATAAAATTCGAGAACTAAGCCAAAAAGGAGTTGGCAAATAGCCTGAACAATATTACACATGAGTACTTCCACATAAACCGGCGTCGTATTACGATCATGCCTTTCCTTATTGAATTGTGCGAACACCGTTTAGAAAAAAAAGGGTGAACATGGAAAGACCATCCATCGGTCGATTGTAATAAAACATCTAAAGAGCTGGAGGGTGGTCCGGGATCGGATTTCACCAGCCACTAATTAACGTGCCTGTTAAGTCCGAATGGGATGGTTCCCGCGCGTGCTAAGGCTTCGTTTGCGTGCAAATTGAGATCGAAATTCGCACTCCGGGATCCGTCAACTTTTTGTAACGGTTCTATCACTTTAGCAAGCTTCTGGCCGACTTTTGAACTCTGAAAAGTACATACAAAGTGAGAGGCGGACGGATTTGTCACGACGCAGAAAGGAAAGCCTATCTAATTTTAACTTTCAAAGTGTATCTAGCTGTCGACTCGATAAGTAGCTAAGATTCGAATCTTTTTTGGGGAGACGGTCGATGGCGGGATGGTCTGCGAAAATCGATACCAGTTTTACATGGCGATTTCTGAAAAGTGATTTCTGCGTTGCCGCGTCGGGACGCACGCGACAATGACGCCCGACGGAGCGCCGGTTTAAAATTCATAGGATTTTTTCCCAGATCTCCAATTTACATATTTACCACCATGATTTGTTGCCTTGCAATTCTTTCCGTAACAAAAAAATTAATTCTTCCCCTCTCTAACTTCTGGGACGAGTTAACCCGAAAGTTCGGATACAATCAAATTATTCAGAGAAAATAAACATTATTCATAAGACTTTTTTAACAGCATTTCAAGAAGAATGCAACATAGATTAGTAGAGGAATTTTTTCCAATTTCAGTGTGAATTCTAATTATATTAATTAAAACGAAACAAAAACTTTAAAGTTTCCGTTTTATCGAGAACCTGAAGCGTAAAAATAAACGGGGCATCAAGTGGCATTTAAGTAGAGTTCGACCCCCTTAAACCGACTACGCCCCGTTTATGCCCGATATAAAAGCTCCTTGCCCGTCACGTACGCTGCCCGCTTATTTTTCCTTTACGTAAATGCCCGTTCGGCGTCGGTTAATACGATATAGCTCCCGTTTAGCACGAGGCGCGACTCATCTCTTATTTCGGTCACGTTCTAGGGGTGGACGCTCAAAGTCACGGGCCCGTCTTCCTCCAGGAACCCCCGTCCCACCTGACGTTCTCCAATACTACTGGTTCTCAAGTCAGCTGCTCGGCTCATGGATCACCAAATCCTCAAGTCGATTGGCTTCTACAGGATAGCCAAACCGTTACTGCTGTACCTGGACTAAGGTAAGATCGAGATTTAATAACAATATTTTTGTGTATTCTTTTTGACTTCTTCATCACTTAGTACTTACCCAACTCAACCCAACTTAACCCAACCCAACCTTTTTTTACCAGCACACGTCGGTATAAATCTTCTGTATGTTTTTCAGGTAACTCGCAATAGATAGAGGTAGAAATCGGTTGAAGGTCCTTTCTCCTGCCAGATGTTCACATCTTTAATGAATACGCTGGCCCAGCTCTTGTAGTTTATCCACCTCCCTTGCCACTTTAGAAGCATCTCCTGCCGCACTTCTTTTCTGTTATTGCCCTTGTTGTTATAGTTCTCTGTTCTCTCCCAAACCATTAAATCTACGGGAGGGCACCCTGCAAGAGCACCCACTGCCTCGATTGACACTGTTCGATAGGCCGCTGTCATGGAAATGGCATATCTTCTTTCAATGCTTCGGAGCATGTTCCTATACTTTCCGTATCTAAGTGCAGTCTGCCATGCATGAGCTACATATAGCACCACTGAACTTATCGTTGTCGATAATACTCGTCTTTTCTTTTGAGACGGACCTCCTATGTTCGGCATAATTCTACATAAGGTGTTCAGCATTCTGGTCGCCTTTTTGCAGGTTATCCTCACATGCGTCATCATCTTGATGTCCTTGTCCAATGTTACACTCAGGTATCTTGCTACTTATTGTTGTATTACCCACCCTAATGTTCACTTCATTGAACTTTCTTCTGCCTTCTAGGACTATTAACTCCGTTTTCGATTCTTCAATCCTTAATCCAATTTCTTCAAGGCATCGCGTATTCTGGTTTCGTGGCCCCTGAAATTACAAGGGCCAAATCATCTGCGTAGCCTCTGACGCCCTCTTCCTGCTTCAATACTAGAACCTTGTTGTAGAAAAGGTTCCACAGTGTTCCGTGCACAACTGATCCCTATGGCACTCCGCAGCTCATTTGCTTCTTTTGTCCGTTCGGTAGATATATAATTCTTTGCGAAAAATAGTTGCACAGAATGGTCTTTAAACCCAACCCAACCTAACCCAACTCAATCCAAGCCAACCTAAGCCTTTTTCTGGACAGAATACTTTTTCAATTACTTAAAAGATTAAATAATTAACATTTTAATACAAAAAATTTTTTTACCGTTTGATTAAAAACTTAGAATTGAAAGAATTAAACCGATTAAGAGAAAATAAAATAAAATACGGATTGCGTTTGTTCCCAATGGTTTCCTGTTCGTTGAATTGGGAATAAAATTGGAATCGGGTCGGTTCAAAATAGAATTAGGGCTGTATAAAAAGGCAAGTATTAAATATTGTAGAATTTGCGAATTGTGCCTGTTTAAATAAATAATCCGTAAAATCAATTTGAATTGTCGATGGTTTAATTTTTTTATTATTTAGGGGGGTGTAAAAATGCGAATTGAGATAAATCTTTGTTGAGATGGTTAAAGTACTCGACGTTTTAAAGTGAAAAGAACACTAAGCTTGTCGGCGACAAAGTTTTTGAAACAGAAAAGCAAAATGTGAGAGAGACAATAATTTCAGTACGAAATTAAGCCGTCGTGACAAATATGGGTGGGAAAATAAAATACGTAGGGTGGTTTTTCACGAGGCGAGGTTTCCGTGTAGAAATTAGAAGTATAAATATTTGTTGTGACAGTTTATTTTCCGTGGTCTCCGAAAAATTTGGTGTAATGAATGGGCAAGGGAAGTATAAGTCATTCTTAAGCAAAGGGAGAGCGCAACAATGGGAAGAGAAATTTATTTAACGACGAACGTATAACTCCATTGTTTTCGCGTTTATTTGTAGCGATATGTGGGACGATCCTTTTTATTATTATTTTTTTTTTATTATTTTTTTTCGTTGGCATTGGTATAACGAAGAGAACGCAAAGTGCGGGATTAAAAAGCTCCGCGCGTTCGGGGCTTTTCCTTTGTGGAAACGATCGAGGTCCCCTTTGAAACGGGAGCAGAAATAGTTTATTCTAATGAAAACCTCTTGCGTGCGTTGGGGACAAAAATCAACCATCCACCCCTATCCTAAAAGCACCGACATCAATCTGAATTCCCGATCCCAGTCAATCCACTCACTGTTACCGGCTTACGCGAGGCTTCCCAGTTTGTCCCATGCATTTATAATAGGACTGCCAAAGTCCATTATTTATATGGTCCATACTGTCACACGTAGCCAGTATCGATCTTCACAAAGATAGAAACGAATTCCGGCGACGCAATTTTACGAAGTAGGTATCTCACCCACCGGAAACAGTTTTATTTCGCAAAAACCATTTTTTGAAATCATTTTGATATCATTGATCAAATTGATATGTATACTTTTACAATTAAAAAACTACAAACAAAGTTGAGTGCTTTGATATATAAATGCTTTTTATTTTGCGAAATCGACGTCAACGTCAATTTACTAATGAATCGATCGTCCGCGAAACTGCCCTAACTAAATATCAACGCGCCGCCGACGCCAGATTATAAAGTCACTTCATTATTCATCGTTTAATTATCATGTTTGTTCGCAATAGTTACCGCGTATCGATTGCCATGACCCAATTCCTAAAATCGTACCTTCGTGCCCCTCATTATTATTGGACCAACCACTAATCCTGTTCGCCATTTATTTTACTAGCTTGTTATGCTATTTACTACTACACATTATGTGTCCCCCAAATCATCTGTTGCGATGTTACATCGTTTTGTTGGTTTACATAAACAAGAATGATTGCCCAACACACGCTCAAATTTAGAATCCTCTAAATTTATACTAAACTACAGTCAAACATAGTTCAACTTTTCGTTCAATAAAAATATACAACAATTTAACACTGAATAACAATTAAAACTAACACTAGACTTATTAGACTTACAGACTTACATTAAACCCGAATGTTTCTAGTTCTAGGTCTAGTGTTAATTTTATTATTAGTTAAATAAAAATATTAATTAACTATTATAATTAGTTTTACTGTATCACCATGATAAGATGAATTTAATTACAGTCTGTTCGTTCGATGCATAATTATTTTTCGCTTCATTTTTTTGTCGAAGAAAACTTTAAATTAGCATCTCAAATAACAAAAATCGTTACCGTCTCTTTTTGTTTATATTTTTAATTACTTTCAAGATAGATTTTTCCGTGCCATAATAATAAAGTTAAAAAAAAACCTTTTTTAGAATATTCCAGTGCACTTCATAACAAAACTGAAGAAGTAGAAATCTTAAGGCGTACCCAATTAGGGGATGTATTATTTTAAGTCTTCTTTTCCCTTATTATTTGGGGATTGTTGCGGAGCAAAAATGAATGGGTTGCTATTAAAATAGGGTCCCCGTTGGATAAATAAATAAATAGAGATTTCCCGGTATGAACCCCTTCCAAATGGGCAAAGTTGAATAGGACGGAAGCGAGTAATTACCGAGCGCTTGGTATCTTGTACGCGAGTGTCGCGGGTCGCATTTAATCGCGCGGCTCAGTTTTTTACTCCTTTAGAAAATGGAATAATGAATGAACCCCGCAATGTTTGAATCTAGATATTCTAGATCATAAACACCTTAGAATTAGTTTTAATTTTAAAGTATTAATTTTGATATTTTCATAGTAACATTCTTTTAGCCATGCTAGAATAATTAATAATAGACGTTAATGTCGGGTTGTGGCGTTCCTGAGTGCGTTTTCCTGTACTGTGGTTTAAAGATGAAATCAATATTCTCATGAATTATACATATGTTTGTAGAAGTGACCGCCGCGTTAATAATCGCACTTTATACTTGCCCAAACACAGCGAAAGGGGCGTCATCTCATACGCGTAGCGCGTCGCGTTACGCCACTGTGGGTGACAGTTATTCGACTATGGTAGGGTTGGATGGACAAATTTGGTGGACCGTTACAATTCTCTCAGGTAATGTGTGCTTTTGGTCAACGAATCCATTACGAAATCTCATCTACCTAAAGCTTTGTGATGTAAACTAAATTTGTGTTCACCATCAATTTTATGTAAATCTAAAAAATAATTAAGTTTCGATATTCTTTCAAGATAATACAATAAGACTCCGAAGCTTTTCCGGTTTTTAATCAAAGTTCGAGCATCCGTAATTCGAGCTCGACTTTCTCTTCTCTTAAAATCCTTTGATTACGGGTTATTGTTTCCTTTTTATTTTGAAACAACTCGCAACGAAGAAGAATCCAATATGTTAATGGATATTTAATCATAGTTCGTGAACTAACTTTGTACGCTTCGTACTAGAAGTAAACATAACTGAGACGTAATAGTAATTAGTTTCATCGTTGAAATCAACATTCTTTCAAGGTTCTTGAAAAATTACTTGCTATCCCGAAACTGTTGGAGGACTTAGAGTAATATGTTTCCAATAGTTTCGAAATTGGATGGACTTTCCGTGGCTGTCTGGTAATGTATTAAAACGGACGATGCGACGGTGCCGAATGAGGCGTAGTTAATTTCTATGACACCGCGCATTGATTTTACGTATAATCAAAAGAGGCCTTCTATCGATACGGGATCCTGCAATCCTGATGGGATTGCGATTGAAATGTTTGAGGAGACCTAATTCGGAATGGCGGACCGGGCGCATCGATTACGCTGTATACACAGTATATCGGTTGGGAATTAAGGCGACCCGTATGTTTCAGGCAATCACTGGGCAACGGTACTCTCTACTTCCCACCCTTCAGAGCTGAGGACTACCGGAAGGACGTACACTCAACCGTCTATCGATGCAGGGCATCTAACTTGGCCGGCACAATCATCAGTAGAGATGTTCACGTTCGCGCAGGTATTATATTATATCATTTTACATAATAAACTTTTTCTCCTTAGTTAATTTGAGATAACACAAAAATTTTTAGAGCCACAATTTTTCTTTTACAAAGAAACCGTTCGATTAAAGTATGGAAATGTGTCCCCAGAACTCTCTCAACGTCGTCGTCCGAGTGCACGAAAAGTCCAATCCAACCGTTTGAATGATTAACACGGTCGCCCGAGCGGGTTGTGAAATGAAGATAATGTCGTCTAATATTTAAATAGATGGCGCCACGGGTAAAAAAGGACCACCGGCGATCCGAATTATTATTAACCCAGTCATTTCGGTCGCAAACTCGCTAATTGCACGACAGAGTTGCCGCGAACTGTTTCCCTCTGAATAATACATACTCGAGAGTTGTGATTTCCCATGGTGCTTACACCCGAAAAAGAATAAAACTCCTTCATACTTATAATCGCTACTTATATAAGGTGATTCTCAACCTATACTAAAATTGTAGCAAAAGTTTTTTAGTTTCAAATCAAGAATACATATAAGATTTTAAAATGACATCGAAGCAAGTGTTCCAAGTTGTTTCCAATATTTTCTATGCACAATTTTGTAACAACAATTTGTATATGAATCCTTGCTCAGTATTCACTTCCTCAGCTGCAATGTTAAATGCCTATTCCTCAGTATCAGCCAAGAGGACTCAATCTTGATTTTGTAATCATTCATAACCATTACGTACTTTGTAATCAGGAGATTTTTTTCTTTAATCCCGCTAACACCTCGAACAATAAATTTATTTCCAGGATATGATTAAGGACTATTGAAACGACAATTATTTTTTCACATGTATTAAAGTTCTTCAGGGCTTAAATTGTTACAAACTAGTTGTAAAATAATACAAAAAACTAACAAATTGTACTTGAAACAGCGAAAAATATTAAAAATCAGCCACGACGCACATCTTAAACCGTTGTGAGAACCACAAAGATTGAACATCGGTCAACGAATAACCGAGAAAACAAGTTTTTAAACGTGTTTTTATTTAAAAACTTGTTTTCTCGGTTATTCGTTGACCGATTTTACGCAGTTTTAAATTAAAATTTTATTTAATATTTGTGTTAAAATATAAATTTATTTGATACATTAAGAAGATTTGTAGAAAAGGTACAAACCGATTAATATTTTTTCATGAATGCTTCAACGTGTTCCTTTTTTAATTACGGTCGATTTTATGAGTTACGAAGCGGGGATGTATTGTTTGGGGTTTGCGCTTGTGAAATAAAAGGGCGGCCGTTGAATGGGGTAGATTCCATCTAACCATATCCGTTCGACGGAGATCCGAGTTATCGAAACAATGGAGCTCTTGATTCGGCTTTTTGAATCGAGACGGATCACCATTCAGTGTTTAATTTACATCGATTCTTCGCCGTCCGGGTCCATCCAAAGCCGAAATTACTTACCATTTGGAGGGGTGCGCCCATTGACGCGGCCGGATTCGTTTGCTTGGAGTCCCCGTTTTCTGTAAATCTTTTGAAAAAAGCTTGGGATCCAACCGCCCTTTTTGTTTGCTCTCGAAAACGACCGGATTAAATAAATACGTAAGTGAACCGTGAGTGTTTGTTTTTCGCTAATGCGAAAGGTAACCGTATTCTAAATTAATGCGTCACTGTTATTTCAAGCTCTGCTAGGTGTAAATATGCGATTTTCACGTAATCCAATTCTCATTTTAATTTAATTCATTATTAATCTCGGTAATGTAACAATCACTTTATGATTTGTTTTTAATTACGAGGGATACATATAGCCCTAAAATAAACTAGTTGCTGGACATCTTGAAGGGTTTAGCTCAGTTACGCGATTATCGTTCCAGCTTCAATTAGCAAGTTTACGGAGTAATTAGTTTATGAACGCCCTGGTCGTTTGAGGATGGTGTGAGAGAAACAGAGCGACTTAAAATTGTATGGTGTAAATTAAAATTTCACCCCAGTAAATCGGTGCGGTTCCTTTAGTACATTTTCTTCTTATTCTTCGGACCCCTCTTTGTCACCTTTTTGTATTCATACCGCGAGTAAAGATCAAAAGATACCCGCAAAAAAAAAGACAAAAACCCGAAGGGAGACTAACGGATCGATATGGAATTGATGAGCGAGAATGAAAAACCGTGAATATGAGTGAGCGGATATAAATATGCATATTTCAGACGGCGGCACTCTTAAAGGGACATTACCATTTCAATTCGGATGCAACTCATAGCCGGTCACCGCGCGAAAATGAAAAAGGATGGTGGCAAGAAGTCTCCTGGAATCGATTACACAAACATTTTCAGCTTTTAAGTTGCATGTGTACACAGAAAAGCTCGAATTTAAATATTTCACTTTCGTGGAACGCGTCTCAAAGCTCCAGAATCATTTAGTTGCGACGTGAACGGTTTGCGATTTCCCGGACCCCAAAACGCAATTATGACAGGCGGAAGCTGTAAAGGCGACTACGAACGGCTTTCGAATCGAGACATATGAAAGGTAATTGCGTTAAAGACGGGCGGCAAACGGGACCTAAGAAGACGAAATCCGGTTGAGAAGTCGCGATCGATATTTCTTGAAACCACAAATGTTACAATAAAAAGAAAAATTAAATACAAAATAAAATCATAAAGATGTAGAGTTAATGTGAAAATTCGTGCATTGACTTGTTGATACATATGAAATGTGTAATGTTTTTTATGGCTAAATAAAAATAATTAAATTTGGGTCAATTGTTTGAAATGGCTATTGAATTACCCAAACCTCTTTCAAATCAATAACGTTCCGAGCGGATAGTTCTTTTCAGAGGGAGGCCGCGATTCTCGTTAAACAATAGGGCGATTAAACTGTTGTGCAAGTGGGCGCGTGCGCCAGGAGGCCAATCATCCGAATTGTACCCTTATGGTTAATCGCTTAAGTTGTAGAGCGCATTATTCGTTATTGCATAATAGTTTGTGAATTTATTCGCAAATTGGGTGAAAAGAGTTGGTACGCTGTGCGTGCGTGTGTCGTAATTAAAATAATAATGCAGTTAATATCGATCGAATGTCGATACGCAGCGCAGGTTGTCGCACTATTATTACACTGTATTAGGGGATTGATAGGGGTGTTTACCCCGTTTTCCAATAAATATGGAGAGGGGCACGCGTCCACGTCAATCAGGGGGCTGGCAAACACGGCACCCGATGCTCGTGTGGCACGGTCCCGGACAGGTCGCGTATCCGCATCCTGTTAATAATTGGTTCCACTCTTTCACACAAGTGCCCATTCACACGATCTTTCTCGCCAACCCTAAGTGTTACACTGGGTAAACATCATAATAATTTCACACTACTAATTTTCTCTGAAGGGTGGCAACCAACGAGCACCCTTCGCGGCGATATCCAAAGGATCGCCTTTCAAATTTGCGTCAGTCGGAACGAAACACGTCGCGGTGCCGCGGCTCCAATATGGCTGCTGGGCATCGAATTGGCATCGGAATTGACGCGATTCTGTTAAAATTCGATTTAGCTAGTTTTCAACTACATCCCAATTGAACACTGATAGTTTGAAGCGGTTATAGGATCTCGCCCCAGGTCTGCTCTCACCTCTCTCTATTTATTTCATCCGCGTGTGTCGCTACACGTTCCGTTATCAATATTCTACCCATTAATATACGCACTGCACATTAATATCATAAAATCGAATAAAACCTGATTTCCTAGTTCATTTACGCCAATAATTTTGCATCACTATAAAGCAAATTAACGTATCGCTTTATCGCATTATATTTATGTCCCTCATTTCCTTCGTTCAAATTCAATGATAGAAATCACTGCAATTTGATTAGATATACTATTTCCATCTAGAACTAGCATCTATAGCAACATTGCCGTTGACCGTTAATGAGGTATATATAGTCTCCAAAATATACAGTCATTTAGAACCATAATATATATACAAATATAAAACAGTCGGGTTAGGGTGGGTTGGGTTGGTTCGGGTCAACCCAGTCCGAACCAACCCAACCCACCCTAACCCGACTGTTTTATATATTCTAGAATATATATTCATATACAAAACAGTAGGGTTAGGGTGGGTTGGGTTTGTTCGGACTGGGTTATCCCGAACCAACCCAACCCACCCTAACCCGACTGTTTTATATATGAATATATATTCTAGTTTTAGATGACCCAATCCAATCCCTCCAACCCAATATATATCTGATTGCAAAAATGTATCTATTATTTAAATTTGTATACATCTATTAAGAAATAGTTAAAATATATTTGGGTTGGATGCATCATAATTAATAATGACAGTAAATTTCTTCATAAAGTTTGAAATGAATGTTTGAATGTAGGAGGCTTGAAAATTTGTAGTTACATAATGTACAAGCAAACAGTTGTTTTTTGTGTTTAGTAAAAAGTGGTTGAAATGTAGTAGAAGGATAATATGCACAAAAAGCTTTTGTCGAATTAGAGATCAATACACAGCGGAAATACACCGACAGAGAGACGCACACATGCACGGCAAGAGAAACTGTCTATTTCAATTCCAACTTCATCAATCTCTTCACTGATCTCGCAGCGCTCGGTAGCGGTATTCATCCGACGCCATTCAAACGGGAATTTCGCGCATTTGTTTCTTTCCTTCGGTTCGTTTTTACTGGGGGTGTGGTTTTAATACGGACCTGCACGTGTGTTTGTGGAAAAGGCTGATTAACACACACACACACAAAGAAAGCAGCGACGAAAAGCGGCTCTTTCGCCGGGCGAGTTTTTTTTCACAGTTCCCCTCGATAATGAGCTGATATCGATAAACCATAAAAGTTTTTATTGCCCAGGGCTCTACTTTACGGCCCGACAGCATAAAAGTCTCGCGAGCGACGGAATAAATTTCGAAATTGGTCTCTTTGTGTTCGTTTCAGTGGTCAACCAACAGTATGAAGTCCAAGTTTACCATACCTACGTCTTAGCTGGAAACACGGCCGTTTTGCTTTGCGTGATACCGTCGTTCGTGAAAGAGCATGTCAGTGTCACTTCCTGGTCAAGAGACGATTCAATTCTCCTACCCGGTTCCAACATGGGTGAGTATTCAATTAATCGTCCATAAAACCAGACGGGCCTTTAAAACATTTATATATCCACTTCGAACTACCCATTACCGTTCACAAAGAGCAACGGAACGCCGCTAACGCGATTCTCTCCGTCAAGGGACCAAGGGCTCTCTAAGAAAAGAAAGTTAAATTGAATACCGTCCCGCTCTGCTGGCGTTATGTAATAAAACAAAGAGACCGGTCGCCTAAATGGGCCGAATTTCCGCAAAGAATTCCGCGACTCCGATAATGAACTTCCGAAGAACCTCGTATGTAACCCTCTACTTATCCCCATCCACCATATAAAATCCGGTTATTTCCTTTAATTAAATTCCTTAGATACTTACCCAGTTTTTCTAAGCCTGTAAATTACAAGTTGAAACTTTGAAAAATGAAGAACCAAATCTTATAAAGAACCTTCACGTAAGGTTACAGTTGAAATAAGATTCAAAAACTTTTAAAAACTGAGTGCAGAGAAGTTGAGAGGTTGGTCTTAACTAGTTCCTTAACGTAGCCGCGAAACGGTCGTCTCATCCATTCCTTGCATTGTAGGAGGCCGGATAGTGGTGACTTACGGGAGCGGCGAATTGCATATTAGGTCGGCACGTGCGGAAGACGGTATGGCGAAGTACTCTTGCTTGACGTTACACGCCTTGACGCAGGAGCGAAAGAGAAGCGGAGCGGCGATGCTTACTGTCACAGGTTAGTTACATTAATTTCCTGAACAATACAACACTCCACCAAAATGCTAGTCATTAAGTTTGCTTCCCATTCTTTGTTATCTTTATTTTTATTATTAGAACCAACGGGTAGTATGCCACCAAGATTAGCACCGTCGGCTCAGACGTCGGTATCTGCGGATAGAGAATCAGATGTTCATCTAACGTGTTCGGCACAGGGAAATCCACCGCCTACGTTCAAGTAAGGTTTTGCTGGGCGCAATTTCATTAAGCCCTGTTTAACATACTCGGATAGTCGTACGACGCGCTCGAACGTGCCGTAAACCGTTTATTATCCTTGTCGGCATTAAATTGTTTTGACAATCGCAGCTGGTTTCGAGACGTGAATGGGTTGCTGCAGCCCGTCCACTCGTCGTCGCGTTTCGAGCCGCTACAGGATGTCCTGCTTATTAGAAGACTGAAGCCGGAGGATTCGGGTAAATGGACCTGTAAAGTCTCCAATCACTTCGGGGAACAGCGACTCGATATCCAATTAACCGTCACAGCTCATCTGACTCTACACGTTCTGCCCCAACTACAGGTAGAATTTCCTCCTCCTTCAGTGAATTGACCTTAATCCTATCTCATTTTGTTTCGATTAGGTTATAAATTCAGGGGAGAGTGCTATTTTTAACTGTAGCGTCTCGGGGTCTCCGGTAGGGCGTAGCTATTGGCTCAGAAATGGGGAGGTGCTGTCCCCCGATGGAAATCCAAGGATTAGGCTGTTGAGTCCTCTTGTACTGGCAATTAATAGGGTGACGAGGCATGACCGTGGGATGTATCAGTGCGTTGTACGTAACGATAGGGAGAGCGCTCAAGGAAGTGCTGAACTAAGGCTCGGAGGTAAGTAGCGGAATAGTAGATCCTTATCGCGCCCTCGCGAGACGGAAAAAAAGCGAGAAATAACGTTATAACGACACTCGGTGAATTTTCGTTTTACCGGGAAGGTAAAGACGCTTTAATGGAGTGATTTATCATCACACCCCGAGTTTTAATGATATTTTCTTTAATTTTCCCGGGGACGCCTGCTTTACGGAGGGCAGATTCAGATTCGGCTTTATTCAAGTATAAAATTATTTTATAGCAAAAGAAAGGAAGCCTCAGCGTAAAATATCGTTGACGGAAACCAAAACTCATTTCCTGTCGCCACCCCGGCCTGAATATCTTTCTCTTAACGGCGCCGAGCAAGTTCTCGACCGTATCTGGCTAAAATTTATTCTTGTGTAATGACGAATTGAAAACTTTGCCTTCTCGAAATATTTCCAATCAACTTTTCTCTTATAATTGGAACATCTTTCCTCCGACTCTCGGAAATTGAAACTTTGATATAAACAGGTAGAGTGGATCATCTTCTGATACATAATATAACTTTTTTAATCATAAATATTTTGCGTCGTCGTTTACTTCGTTCATTCGTTTTTGTTTATGTAGTCGATAGTTATTGAGTATTGATTTTCAGATACGGTTCCCGAGTTACAGTACACCTTTATAGAACAAGCGTTAAGACCGGGACCTCAGGTTTCCTTGAGATGTTCAGCAACAGGATCTCCTCCACCGCAATTCCGATGGTTACTGGATGGAGAATCCTTGTCGGAACTGAATATCGGCCATAGGTAGGTGTAACGAGTTGTATTAATTAATAAAATCGAATCGGGTTTCTGTTAGATACGCTATAGGACAGTACGTAGACCACGCAGGGGACGTTATAAGTCACCTGAACATATCAAGCGTACGCGTCGAAGACGGCGGATTATACAGTTGTCGGGCTGTGAACTCTCTCGGTTCCGTCGAGCACGAGGCCCGGCTCAATATTTATGGTAATGTTTTATTCATCATTGAGAAGGAAGTAAGCGTAATATGCTTTGATGTAGGGCCGCCCTTTATCCGCTCGATTGGCCCCGTTAAGGCCGTAGCAGGATCGGATGTTACTCTCCATTGTCCTTATTCTGGGTATCCCATCGGATCCGTTCGATGGAAGCGGCAAGGACAGGATTTGCCGATAGACCTTCGACACCGTATCGAGGAAGGTGGATCTCTGACCATCACCAGACTGGATCCTTCTATAGATTCAGACTTGTATACGTGTTTTGTCAGCGGCCGAAATGGCGACGTCGTTCACCGCAACATTCAGTTGGTCGTTCACAGTCCACCGATTCTAGAACCCTTTTCCTTTCCCACGAGCCTTCAGGAGGGTGGCAGGGCGCAAGTGACTTGTTATGTCACCTCCGGGGACATGCCCATCCACTTCGCCTGGTACAAAGATGACATGCCGATTTCCGCCAACCTAGAGGTAAGCTCATCGCCAATTTACAACCGACCCGTATGGGTGTGTGTATCAATATCGATCGGTTCCAAAGCGAACGGGTTATTCCGTAAATTACCTTATTAAACTAGCGCACTGTACTAGGGATGAGGCTCAATAGCACCGCTTTTGTTTCTGGTCGCAGCTATTTCCATTCGGCCGCAACGCAACTGTGCGAAACGCGCTTTTATGCTTCGTTTTCGCTTTTCAAAACAACGCTCGTGTCACGACGGAATCAATTTTCGCTTCTTGATTGGGTGAAATTAATTAAAAATCCCGTTAGGCGGTAGTACTTTGGTTTTTCCAATATTTCAATAGAACCCAATCCGCCGCTTTACACAATGGGATCGACAAAGCTATTTTAATCCTTTTTATTGTTAATTACTCGTTTGTTCAATACATTGCAACCTTTCAATCGTAATTAAATATTATTTAACATTTTTTCACACTCGAATTTCACCCATTCTTATATCGCACTAACACTATTTGAAAAAACGTCCATAATCGAATCCATATTTTTATTTCAAAGTGCAAATCCACAAAATCACTTCAAAATTAAAAACCTCCAAGAAAAATATTTTAATATAGATATTGTTTTAAAATGTTTTTCTCCGAAACGATTAGGAATTAAGAAAAGAAACTTTTTGAGGTTATGTAGGAATGTTTGAGGTTAGATCATACCAAATTACAATCTTCCCACCTTTTCTAATATATAAATATCACACGGTTTCGCACCGTTTACTGGCAATTTACCCCCACTTCTGCATGATCTGTCCCAAACGCGCCGACGCACCACCAGTATGACAGAATCGGAATGAAATAACCGTTGTTGTTTGAGGTTAAGTCATATTAGTTTTAAGGTAAAATATTCTTTTAATTAATTTCGTATCAATTTTTGATGTCTATATATCTGTTCTGTGAATCTTCCAGGGTGATCACTTTAGTTTATATAAAATTTCAAAAATCTAATTAATTTGGCATTTCTTAAAAATTTTTAAAATTGCATTGTCGAATTTTTGCACGATTTTTATATACTTTTGTATTAAAATTCCATAAAAATTTGCATAATAACTCTTCTCTACAGAGAGCTTGAAATTTTATCATTTACAACAAATATAAATTGATTGCACTTTGCATCAAAATAATATTGTAAACTTTGTTAACAAATTTTATTCGTAATGAAATAAATAAATAAATGCAGGCGCCTCCGCCAAAACTATTGATTATCATTTTTCGCTGAAATACGCTAAAAGTAGGTCAATATTAAAAAAAAAAGTTCAATTTATCTTTATGCTTGATAGATAAAATACAGTTCTGAGGTGTTGAATAATCAATCGATCCGTGGCGCGAACGTAAGATGGTAAAATTCGCGCCTGTCCCCGAGTTTTACACCCACTGCGCATAAATAATGCATTGAATTATTTCTCGCATATCTCGGAAAGGTTGCCGAGCGGGCCGCCGAATTCTACAGCATGTTAATATTTAAAGAAGTCTCCTCGAAGCATAGCGGAGCTTACACCTGCGTGGCGAGTAACTCCGCAGCGAGGGCGAACTATACGGCGAACTTGATGGTGAAAGGTGCGTGAAAGCCGCAACATGTTCAATCTTGCATAACCGGGGGTGTTTTGTTTTTCACAGTTGCGCCCCAATGGGTCATAGAACCGCAGGACGTATCGACTTTATTAGGAAATCCAGTTCTTGTCGAATGTTCTGCTAAGGGATTTCCTAGGCCTCAGATAACGTGGCTGAAAGGACAAGGTAACATGGTCGTATATTTCCAATAGTTTATTTATTGGATTATTCGTAGGGAAAACTTCTAGTGATTACCAGCCGGTATTAAATTTGCATGGTAGGACACTACTGTTGGCAAACGGATCCATGTTGCTTGACGCTGTGACACCCCAAGAAGAAGGACATTACTTATGCAGGGCTACGAACGGCATCGGGTCCGGTTTGGGAAAGGTTATTTATATCGACGTGAACGGTAAAAGACCGAAGGCTTTCGCGGACTTCTTCTCGATCATCGATTCTTTCAGAACCTGCCCGCTTCGACGTTCCCTCCAGGAACATATCAACGAAGCGAGGGGGACCTATCGCATTGGTATGCCACGTCTACGGCGACCTCCCTATCGAGATCTTGTGGACCCATAACGGGAACCGACTCGATCTCAACAGCTATAGACTTACTGTAACCGAATCCAAGAGCGAAAACGGGGTAAAGTCTCAGGTAACTATCAATAGAAGCGATCGCGACGACTCCGGCATCTACAAATGTCACGCGGAAAATGCTTATGGGAGAAGCGGACACGTGATCAACTTAGCTGTACAAGAAAGACCCGATCCACCAGCGTTTTTGGAAGTTGTCGAAGTCGGAAGTCGATCTGTTCGACTGGCTTGGAAAAAAAGCTTTGATGGAAACAGTCCCATTTTAGGATATTTGGTTCAATATCAACCGCTTGGGATTAGTAGACCTGATTGGGAGAATGCTGCTACGCAAAATATTACATTACCAGCGATTACATCAACTACAAGGTTAGTATAAATAATAAGATCTATGCATTAAAATTAGGATATCCGGGAAAGTAGTTTTTTATCGGAGGGAGGGTTAAGGAAGGAGCACTTATTGAAAATTCCATCCGCCATTATAATTTGATGATGGCAATCGAAGGATTACTGTGTTTGCTCCACTTCCAGTGGTGACGACCCACGAGAGAGCGCAATAATCGGCAGCCTGCTGCCTGCCACTGCATATAAAATAAGGATGCTAGCGGTGAATGGCATCGATCAGAGTCCGTTTACTGAGGATGCAGTGGTGAAGACGCAAGAAGAGGAACCCTCGGAGTCTCCTAGAGACTTGCGGGTGGACGCCGTCGGGGCTGGGGAGTTGTTCTTGTCGTGGCAGGTGCCGCCAAGGGAAACTTGGAACGGAGAACTCCTCGGATACATCGTCTCGTGGAACGAACAGGGCAAGACGTCGAATAACACCAAGACCTTAACGGTGAAAGGCTGGGCCACAACCAAAGTTCAATTAACGGGTCTCCGCAAGTTTACTCGGTACGATATCACCGTCCGCGCTTACAACAGCGTTTCCGTCGGTCCCCAGTCCGCCACCATAACTGGCGTTACCAAAGAAGGGATTCCCGAGGCGCCGCCTCAAGATATCAGCTGTTCACAAATCTCCTCGCAGAGTATGAAAATCTCGTGGACGCCGCCTCCAGCTCAATTACACGGCGGCGTCATCCAAGGATATAAGATTTTTTACAGACCAGTCGTCCTAGATAATGGTGAGTTCTATTTCCACCTTATTTTTACTTCATTAAAAAAATCATTGAAAATCCAGTTGATATCTCAACAACCGGCGAAGTTAAACGCACGCCTAGCACAGACACTTATCTTCACGGTCTTTATAAATACACCAACTACTCCATCAAAGCTTTAGCTTACACCGGCGCTGGAGATGGTATATTAAGTTCTCCGTTATTTTGCACAACCGAAGAGGATGGTAAGTATTTTTTAAAGATCAATTTTTTTTATTTTTAGTTATATATAGTTGTTCAAATATTAAAAAAAAGAGGCAAACTTAGGTTGGAATTCGCAAAAATGTCTGTATTGTAAACACGCGGGGTATTTATGTAGTCGGTGGAATTTTTAATAAAAACCTGGGGACGGTTAAAGCTTGGGTGTGCGAATGATATTTAGCTCGGCGTTAGCGGCGGCGCATTCATCGTTGTAATCTACGGTTCTAACGGACTCTATGGTAGATTATGTGACTGATCGCACACGGCCGTATCAGTTTCAGTTTTGTATACACGCGCCTGGCGCGTCGCTTTGTCCGGCGCATCGTGCGTTTATTTGTGCAGCGGACCATTCATCCATTTATAATTACCAACTCCTGTCCATAACTTTATCGTGCCGCCCGATTTTACATGCCGTGTGTTTCGAAACCGTTCACGGGAAAACGAGGACCCTTTCGGGTCCGGCGCGTATTAATTAGGCAAGCTGAGGGAAGCTTTCGACGACCGTATTGCATAACTCTGCGGATATTTTTTTTCACAGTACCGGGACCCCCTGCGAACATAAAAGCCGCTGCGTTGACCGGTGAATCGATCTTGGTTTCGTGGTTGCCGCCCACGAAACCTAACGGAAAGATAAACCATTACACCGTGTACGCTAGGGAAGCTGGTAGAGTTGGAAAACACACCAGTTATGCTCTTAGAATGGAGGACAACCCCTACACCCACGGATTAATGTTCGAAGTCCGCAATCTCGTAGAAGACAAACTCTACGAGTTTTGGGTGTCTGCTACCACGAGTATTGGAGAGGGTGAACCTACTTCCATAGTCGCCCAAGCGGCTAAATCTCGAGCTCCTTCCAGGATCGCATCCTTTAGTCAAACTTTACAAAAAGCTGTAAAAACCAAAGTTCTTCTTCCGTGTCATGCTGTTGGAAATCCCACCCCTAGAACTCGATGGATACACAGAGATCGACCGATCACGTTTAGTCCTTATTACGAGGTAACATCGGATGGACATTTAAGTATTCACAGCGCCGATCAAAGTTTGGGTGGTAATTACACCTGTTCTGCAAAGAATCTTTTTGGCGAAGACGCCATTACTTATACCTTGATAGTTCTTCTTCCACCCCAAGCACCGGTGTTAGAGGAACAATTTACAACCGCGAAAAGCATCAGAATTCGATGGAGCGTCCCTAACGATGGAGGTACACCAATACAAGGTAATTCGAAAATGTATCCGTATCACGTTTTTTGTTTGTACGTTGATCCATTTTGTCGATTTAACAAAGTTTATTTAATTTTTGAGCGTATTTGCCTATCAGGCGGACGACTGTCATCGTTAAAATTGTCTGCGGTGAATTTTGATTCCGTTATACAATTGTTAAATGAAACTGTTTTACTTGTTTTTCGTAATATTAACAATTGAATTATTGATCCAATGTACACCGTAGAGTTTCAGTATTATAAAAGCGTTTTTAACAAGTTTAAATTTTATAACTCGATTATTACCTGCTGACAAGTTTATTCGCGAAGCACATCGTCGCGTCCTGTTTGGGTTAAATACGAGGTAACCTTTCGATTCCGAAGCCGATAAAACAGGCGTTAAAACGCTATCCGCCGCAGGTTACACATTGAACGGTAAAAAGGAAACGGAAAACTGGTCGTCGATGGAACTGTCGCCGGAGCAAACCGCGTACAACTTCGACGATTTGCACTGCGGCTCGCAGTACCACCTCTATGTATTGGCTCATAACAAAGTCGGAAACGGTAGCCCTAGTCCCATATTGACGTCGCGCACTAAAGGGGGCCCACCCCAGCTACCGAAGGAAAACGATTTCATAGTCACGAACGCGACAACACTCCAGTTAAATTTATTCAATTGGCCAGACGGCGGCTGTCCGATATCACAATTTTCCGTAACATACAAGTCCCTCGGAGCAGACAAATGGGTTCTGGTATCCAGCAGCGTCTCCGGCGAGAAACTCCTCGTTCAGGATCTGCAACCAGCCACGTGGTATCAGCTGAAAGTAACCGCCGAGAACGACGCCGGTGTATCACACGGCTTATTCAACTTCGCCACCACCACCCTTACAGGGGGTAAAATCCTCTCTCGGCAAGAACCGCTATAAAATATTTACAATCGATGTGTTTCAGCCCGCGTATTACCACCACCCAACTTGAACGAAGATCTCCCCGCGTCCGCCGGCTTCGGATACAAAGAGCTGTACATACTAATACCCTCACTATGCGCCTGTGTACTAGTTACTTGTATCGCACACACGTGCTACCGAAATTTCAAGAGGAAGAGGTGACGCTTTTCCTGAAATATTCATCACCCTATCCACACGATTGTGTATTTACAGGGGCGTCGAACGAGAGTCGCAACAAGCGGGGGAGGAGCCAGACGAGAAAACCGTCGATAGGGAAAATAGAAGGAATTGTCAACAAGTCTACACTTCGTCACCTATTAAGGCCGGCGATAAAATCCCCGATGATGGTTCGGGCATGTACGAAATTAGTCCTTACGCCACTTTCAGCGTTCCAGGAAACAATAGTAGATCTGTAACCACTTCGACTCTCGACTACACTATGCAATTCAAGACTTTTGGCCATATCGAAGACGAAGACCATAACGCCATCCCTTACAGTAAGAATGCCGGAAAACATAGTTGGCACAAACATCGTTATTATAATACAGAAGGTTGTATCAACAGATTCAACATCTTCTATAGAAAATAATTTTTATTATTAATTTTGTTTTTTATTATAGGTGTTCAACAAACGAGAATTAGGGGTGGCAGGATAGCTTCAGCAAGAGGTGACTCAGAATCGGACGATACTAGCGGAAGTCCGTGCGGTGAGTGCCCAAGCAGTTCAAATTACAGAGTCCCGGTGAAGTCTTCGCGAGGTGAGAAGGAGCAGAATTGCGCCTCGGGTTACGAGACGCTGCTGGTTTCAGATCTCTTCCGGCCCGACTCCAGCACAGAGTCAAACGAGGTGTCTCCGCTGGCGGAGCGGCGAAACACACCCCGGCACGTCGGGGGTCATCGCCGCCACCAGCGAGCTGCAAGTTCCAGCAGGTAGCCACTAAGGTAGTTTTAAAAAATTTAGTATAGTAAAAAAAATTTTACAAATTTAAAAATTATTTATTGGTTACAGCTCAAGACAGCAACCGGAAGAAGGCACTTCTTCGGGCGCCTGTCTCCAGCCGCCAACTGGGTTTTCCGACAGTCGGGAGCTTAGTGAGGCCGAGTGCGATCGAGATATCGCACAGGGGAAGCTGTCCACGGAGTTAGTAAGCCTTCTGTCAAGGTAAAATGTATAATACACTACAGGATATGACTACTAACTATATATATTCGATAGGTATCAAGAAAGGAAGGAACAGGAGCGCAAGGAATTTACTATACATGTCTAAGGCGCAACACAATATAGTGTTCATCTAGTTCTGCAGCCGAATTAACGCTGATTTTATGTAAATATTACGAAATCGTAATAAATAACATGAAACGTGGGTGTTGTTTATTTTATCTATTTTTTTATTTTCATTGACCATAATGACCATGAGTGGTTCCGTTTTGATGCAATTCTTTGTTATCATGTATCGATAATAAAATTTCGCAATCGTCCAAATAGTAAGATAACCGGTAAGATAGAAACAAGGCCGGCGATAACAATCGGTAATTAAGGTCGAAATTTTTTCCACAAACCAGATTCGAAGGCCCCCATTGAGCGGGTAAAAGTTGCGCCAAATATTAACATTGAGAAATGAGTATCACGTTCACGAGACTTTCTTGTTTCTAGCGATACTCCTACCTTTGCGTTGTTAGGACCTTGACAATCCCAATCCTAAGAAAAAGAAGGGAGCGTTACCGAGAGTGAACGTATATGTTAATGTTTGATGTTTAACGGGTTCTTACAAAGTTCAAATTCTTTCGAAAAATGTTCTGCCCTGGTAAATATACAACTTTCTGCTCTGTTTTGCATGCCGCCCATTTCGTTACGCGCGTCTTTTTTTTCCTCGAAAATCGAGTTTGCTAACGACACCGCACGCACCGCGTAATATTTCCAGTACCATTGTGGGCCATAGTAATACTTTCACAAATTGTTATTCCAGACCTTTAACGTGTCGCAGCATTATACAACGTGAGGCCCGAGTACAATTCGTGTGAAATTAGCTTTATTCACAAAATTAAAGTTACATAAAATGTTGCGACGCGCGAAGCTCCCCACGATTTTCCTTCGAAATTAATGAACAACGAATCCACTCAATCGTAATTAAATTAACGTCCCACAATAACTCTTTATAATAATCCTCTACCGTAAATGTCACTTGTCTTGCGTACTTTCCCATAAACAAGGTCAAGTCCAGCCGACGTACAAGAAACCGGTAGTATATAGTTCAGGAAAAATTAACCTCTTACAACCAACGATTAATATCGAAAAAACCCAAAAAAAAACAAGTTCTCCGTGATAGTAATTTAAACAAAGTTTAATAAAACTTTCACTAACACTCTATAAAATACTTTGTGTGAGATTTTGAAATACTACCATAGATAAATACGAATGTAAATACATTCTCAAATGGCAAACTGATATTATCACGAATCCAAGTTTAAATTGTAAATCGTGTTCTTAACCCGTAATCGATTTAATCACGAGAATATCTACAACAAGATTACTCATTAGTTCTCTTTTCCATTTTAAACAACATCTGATTATTTTTTATTTTATTATATCAATACAAACTCTGAATAAATTAAATATATATATATATATATATACCTGACTGTTTTATAAATATATATATATATAACATACATATATAAGTACGAAGGCTTTCACGGCCGGTGTTAATTGAACTAAAATTAGAACTAAAACTAGAACTAACACTACAAACTTTCGGGTTTCGTCTTTTAAGAAAAGGTTTGACGTTTCGGACGCCATGTTGCAACCTTCTTCAAACTGGTTTGAAGTGAAGAAGGTTGCAAAATGGCATCCGAAACGTCAAACCTTTTCTTAAAAGACAGTTGCTAATGTTAGTTCTAATTTTAGTTCAACATACATATATATATATATATATATATATATATATATATATATAAGTCAGGTTAGGTTGGGTCGGATCAACCCAACTCGACTAGTATATATATATATAGTAATTTATGAATAAATTAATTAATTAAAAAAAAATTAAATGTTACAAAAAAAAATATATATATATATATACCTGACTGTTTTATAAATATATATATATATAACATACATATATAAGTACGAAGGCTTTCACGGCCGGTGTTAATTGAACTAAAATTAGAACTAAAACTAGAACTAACACTAAAAATTTTCGGGTTTTGCCGTGCGTCTTTTAAGAAAAGGTTTGACGTTTCGGATGCCATGGTGCAACCTTCTTCAGAAACACTTGGAACCAGTTTTATTAAANCCAGTTTCTGAAGAAGGTTGCAAAATGGCATCCGAAACGTCAAACCTTTTCTTAAAAGACAGTTTCTAGTGTTAGTTCTAATTTTGTTCAACATATATATATATATATATATATATATAAAAGTCAGGTTAGGTTGGGTCGGGTCAACCCAACCCGAATAGTATATATATATAGTAATTTATAAATAAATTAATTAATTAAAAAAAATTAAATGTTACAATTAATTATAAATAATATACAGGGTGGCCGTAGGCATATATCCGGACGAGGCCGTATGTAGAAGTGAATGCGGCGCAAGAGGCGAGCGGAAAATAGTGTCTCTAAGTGGGGACCCATAGTTTTCTCTTGTGCTGTAGTGTCCCCACTAAGGCATTTCACTTAAGAGGGACTTTACTACCAAGAACGGTCCAGTCAGTGGCACGACATTTGCGATTTCACTAGTAACGTGCACACCGTAATCACATCAGAGGAGAAAATCTGCCCGCCGCACGTATGGCTATGTGTTTCTAGCTCCTGCATGTGACAGTGTTTTAAAATTAAAAAAATCGGTGCCTGTTCGAAGAAAGCAACAGCCATGGTGTACAAAAACACCGTAACCATACTGATATTAACCCTAATCGGTGAGTACAATTAAAAAAGAAACCCTAATTCGGGTATATGTGTATAATTAATAATTGTGTTGTGCACATGTATACCAAAAAAAAAAGATTTTTTGGTAATATTTTGAAAATAAACAAAATAAACAATAGCGTTGTTACGGGTGGTTTTTTTTCCGCACGAAATCAGCTTACGACATCAATGAAATCGTTTCACAATGGCTCATTATACATGTGCACGCGTACGCGTACGATTTTTCGAAATTTTTTTAAAAACTCGACCGATACAGATTTAATTGGCCCGTTGACCTTCGAGAATTTTGCCTTTACTTAGCTTTCTCCTCGCAAATAGATTGATAAAAAACGGCGTTACCATTAATTTCAGTTGTATAACGCTTCCCTAGCGCTACGAAACTGTAACAGACTGTCGACGTTCGCGACGAAAGTGAAATTGCTAAAAGAGACGAAATTTATGACCGTCACAAACACCTAACAGGTTTTCTAATAAAACGTTTACTTTACTTACAATTACCCCGTTTACTACATGTACAATAATCTCATTTAATCCCATTTTTGGTGATATCATAAAATAAATTATATAACTTGAAGAAATATATTTATTTGAAACCTTGTAATTCTAATTAATTGAACCGTAATGAAAAAAACAAAGCAGCTAACCCAAATTAACTCATTAAACGTCCGGTAATATGTTGAAATCAATTTTCACTTCGAGATTGTTAAAGGACGTATTAATAAGCATATTTTATTCAAATCCGCAGGTTTATAGTGTAAAAAATAAAACAAATTTAAATTACAAATTAAATTTTTTTTTGGTTTTTATAAATTCCTAATCAATTAACGAATTTGTGGAATGTTCTTAACATAATAGACCAACATCTTACGCAATCCATTCTAGATACTAATTAGACCCACAGTGTGCGAAAAACACTCTTACTGTAATAACCAATAAGGTATAGAGCGAGAAGAAAATAGAAGCAGATGTCCATAAGCGATTCACCTGTACAAAAGTAATTTGTATAACCAAGAAGTAGGACAAACTCTCGCTCGACGCTCTAGACCTTGCCATACGTCGAAGAATCGCTAGTATCTCACCTCATCGTGCGTGCGCGTTTTACTTTGAAAAAAAAATCGCGCCAGCCCATTCTTATTGTTCCTCTCGCCGAATATACGATTGTTCTACACGTTCGATCGTTGATAACATCAACGATACCAATCGCACACACATAATTACTTCCTCTCCGGTTATTTCGTTAGATTTTACGGTCAACGTAGTAATTGTTTAAAAAAACAACTAAAACCCCGCCAGCTACATACTTAAAGAGGAGTTAAAGGTCAAGACTTTGAAACAATCACCTTATTTATAGTTACAACTATAACTGTTTATGTACTTACTTTATAATCGATTCATACTTACACATAGAACCTCTTCATAATCCAAGTAGAGTCCATTTAGTATTTGCTTACATCATACAGAGTTCGCATACGTTATTCAAATTTCACATAAAGTCTGCAAACTCCATCTAATGTTCGCATACTCCAACTAGGATCTGCGTACTCCATAAAAAGTTACATAATCGATGTAGAGGATGCATACATCATATAGAATCTGAATGCTTTACTCATATTTTTATATAGAGCTTACAGATTCCATCTAATGTCTGCAAACTCTATTCTATGTATAATCGTAAATATAGAATTAACATACTTGTAGAGCTTGCATAAGTAATGTGGAGCATGCAGACATCATATGGAGTCCATATACTGTATTCATATTTTCATATAGAGCCTACAGAATCCATCGAATGTCTGCATATTTTATTCGTACTCTAGATAGAGTTATCTTTATGAAGTCACACACTCAAAACATCCATAAAAAACTTTGATTGAGGTTGAGAATGCATACATGATATAGATTCTGCATGCTGTATTCATATATTTACATAGAGCCTACAGAATCCATGTAATGTCTGGACACTCTATTCATGTTCTAGTAATTTTTTCCATAATTAATGTAGATTCAATATAGTCTGAATAATCCATGTAAAATTGGTGTAGAGTATGCATACATCATGTGGAGTCCGCATGCTGTATTTATATTTTGACATAGAGCCTACAGAATCCATATAAAGTCTGCATACTTTATTCAAAATCTAAATAGTCTACAATTTGTGTTGATTTATTTGAAACGTAATAATAGTAAAAGAAGTAAAATATTCAAATTAGCAATTATTTCCAGAAATTAACTGGTATTAGTACGGAAAACGACAAAATTGGACGTTAAATTAAACAAGGTGGTTGTTTGTTCTAGGTCAATAATTCGTTGTGTTTAAGTGTTTGTTGACGTTTCGTTCAGACTCGGCGGTAGCGTTCTCGGTGCTAACGAAAATAAATGAAAGGTCATTTAACTCAGCATTACTTAAACAAACGGCTGTTTTGGATTGAAATCGTATTCTTAAGCGATTTCGGTTTGTGAATTTGTACAGGTTTGAATTTTTTTGTTTAAGTAAAGTTGCGTAACTGGGATATATATTAATGTATAGACAATTTTAGATTGGATTTATGTATCGTATTACGTATCTTATTGCCGTATTATATTATAAATTAGTTACGAGTAACGTTAGTTAGAATTTGCGAAATACTAATTACGTTGGAATTTCAAAACTAGTTCTTAAAGTAGCCGTAAATAGGGAAAAAAAATTGTTTAAAACAATCGAGCGATGATGGCAATAGTTTAGTCATAGCCTTTCGATTAGGTAAAGTATTGTAATAAACTTGGTCTTTATTAATAAAAGGCGAGTGCCGTCGCAAGTTTCGCAAGAGACTTCTCTCTCGACGCCCGTTTGAACTTTTGCCATTTTGCAAAACGCGAAACAACGCGTTTCCACGTCGCTCGGTGTGGCAACGTGGGGCGTGATTTATAAGGGGATCCGAAAAGCCGTGCATTTTTCAACTTACCCGAACTGGGTAACCGTATTAAACTGCACGGCGAGCGCCTCCGTTAAACGCATATCAAGCAGCCACTCGGGGTGAAAGTAAAAGGCGAAAGTAATAGATTATATGTTTTCGACTACTGTTACTCCCACGCGAATCGCAGTTACACAAAAATACTAACTTTTTACGTAACTTTAACAAACGTTACGACATTACACGAATTTGGTATTCCCAGAGTGAACCACATTTCAATTATAAATTAACAACTTTTTTTATTCAAAAAAATATATATATAGTAGATTTATTTATAGTTGATTAAAGTGAATTCAGTTTGTAATATAATCTACAGAGTTTAATTTAGTAAGGCTGCTGTACAAAGTGGTATATAAGTGTGTAAAGATGAGAAGGTGAATATATGAGGGTCTGCGAGCGCACGCAAGTCCATAACTTAATAAAGAGCTAAAGAGAAAACACAAGCAAACAAATTATGGTTTATTTGAGTTGTTGTAAACGGTGATATCGCCAGGTATCTGCGGGCCAAATAAGGGATAGCGGCCCAACAAAAGGCTGGCAAGGCCTGGGATATATCGCAATTCTTGCAAACGTCACTAGTTATTATTTATTTACGTGAGGGCCACGAGAAATATAGCTTTACTTTGAAAGCTCGACAGACTAACATTAAAATTGCCTGTGTGGTACTTGTAGTTTGGTCTGGTAGAAAAATAGTTATTTACAATTCCTTTGCCTCGGATGCGATGGAAGTCTCATCTTTTTGCTATAGAATAATGAATGGCTAGTAAACAGTTGTGGATAATAATTTGTCTCCCATCATCTTCATTTTTTTAATTATTACTATTTTTTGTCCATTTTCCCATGATATATAGGTACCTTTTACAAAAAGGCCTTGGTTGTTTATATGTAGGTATAATTGTGAGAGAAAAAGAAATAAATAAACATTCAACGAGAACCTTCACCTCAACCGTTTTCAATCTGGCCGTTGTTTTTAATGTTAAGTCAGTTAGGTAATAACAGAAATGTATATGCAAATGTCAGCCCGGGTTCATAGGTTACCACTATTATCATTTCTTCAGAAACCATCAAGGTTCCAAGATGACCACACCTCATCGGAACGAGGCGAATAATTGCAAGATTTGAAGTAATTATCTTGAATTGTTTATGGAGCCGTTTACATTACGTAATCTTTCGTTAAATGTCTTCAGCATTCGCTGAATACTTCGCCCGTTCAGTCCAAAATCAATTACTTCACGAGTGAAACTTCTCCACTTCCTGTGTTGAAAAAAGTCGTACTCCATATACGTCAAGTATTGCTTAACACCCTTAATTAAACAAATAGGTATATATCTCAATGTCTACCAACGAGTCTATAACGTTCACGAAACCGTGAACATGTAAATAACAACTTTATGAATACTTTTTATTATGAATCTTATATAACGGTTTAATCTCTGACCTAACTGCTTTAACCTTTTGCAACTACTTTCACACCAAAGTATCATCGTACACATAGACATCTTACAGTTCATAACCTTTACAATTAAATGACATCAGAATGAACTAAAAGTATTTTAAGAAATTTATATGGTTAATTATTTTATTTTGTAATTTATGTGTGAAAGTGAAAAAAAAATCGCTCAAAATGTCAAATATGGTTATCTCCGGAGTGAAAAACCGATTACATAACCCACAAAAAAGATGTGTAAAAAAGTCGTTTATGGAGACATTATGTTAATTGATGTCGCGAAAAGTGGAAATTATATAAATAAAGTTTGGTCGTCGCCGAGGCCACTTAGAAAAAGAAGGAACAAAGAGACGGCGATTTAGAAATTCCTTTTGTCTTGGAAAGTGAACGTAAAGAGACGAGGGTCAGGCAGTAGGCGGCGGCCGTAAATGCCAACGCACCGCTGTTCTAAATAGGCTTAATGGGACGAGAAAAGAAAAAAATAAACAGTCGTAAGGCCCTGTGCCTTCCTGCGGACCGATCCGGATGCCGGATCGTGCACTTTCAGTGCACAAGGTCGCAGGCAAAGTGTATAATACGCGTAACGGCGCTCCACGAACTCACTTTCACTGTTATACAAAACTCCTTGTCCAAGAAGGGGGCCCGCGCGAACCAAAGCAAACTCGACTTCACCTCAAACTCGCGACTCGCATCGAGTTTATTAACCCATTTTTTACGCCGCTAATTGTATTATTTTACCGATTGCAACATTTTTATCTAACGTAATCTCAAAGTTACCTTCATATTTTGTAACCTTTTTATCGAACTCATTTTTATTAAATTCATTTTTATTATCTCAACATTCCTGAAGATGATTAAAGGACCGAAAATAGTGAGATTAATATTAAATTTAATTAACGTAAATGAAAAATGATATGTCACCGAGAAACGATTTATAACGTTGGTTTGTTTTATTTTTTTTAAACAACCGTGGGGTTATTATCGGTTGAAAATCTGCGTTTGCAAGATGGTGGTGTATTTATTATGGTACGTCCCCAAGCACCCACGATTCTATCTAATATCGTCTGCTTACGGTGTCGTGTAGGATTGGATAGGTGTAAAGCACACGCTATAATACTTATCATAACTTAACCTGTCTTTTTATCAAGATCACGCGGTGAAAACGCCTCGGAATCTAATGTTTTTGTGCCTTTGTTTATAACCCCACCAGTACTTACATGGCAAGACAACAAGTGTGAATGGAGGAATCTCAAGATTACCACTTAGGATTCCAAGATTGTTGCTTTTTGGTTCTACAAAAATTTCTCAAAAATACTTTTCTGAAGCAGTTTAAGTTTCAATTCTGCCCCCCGAGTGTATTTAGCCGGTTTATTCAATCTCCCTCGGTAAATTAGGACAAAGGAAAATCTCCAAATACGGATTTGTCTTGCGCTCCGCCTGCGGCCTTTTCAAAGTTCGCCGGCGAAAGAGAGAGAGGATAAATCGGAGATAGTAAGGTCACCACGCGACCACACCCGTGATTATAAATTGACCTCGCGCGTTTTATAATCAAACTGATCACTCGAAAGCTCGATGCACGTGGAAAACAATTTTTTCTCCACCTTCGATTATCCCCAGGTACCCGTTTGTTCCACGCTTTTCAACGTTTATTTGCTCCAACCGATCCCTTCGTTATCCACTACCAATTTTTTTCCATTAAAAACATTCCCTTTTGGGTTTATTCATGAATATATTCTACAAAGACAAATTTACACCATAAAAAACTTTGATCATAATTATTTTCGATCTAATTACACGGTTCCCTGTATAAAACATTCCTTTGTTTCAAAGTTGCACAAATAATTGAAAGGCTTGACACAAATTCTTGCAATAAACTTTGTAATTGAACTGCTTCACAAGGATTTTATAAAAATAATATAAAATTATATAACAATGTTTCATAATAATAACATTAAATAAAGAGACTTTTTTGGGGCAACAAGGTGGTGAAGTATCAAATAGAACTAACAAAAAAACTTTCAGTGGGATGGACCCCAGAGGTTGTTCTCCAACTTGGTCCAACACCTCACCATCGATAAAGACAGAATGTTGAACCTTGACCAGAAGAAAGTGATTACCATGAAACATTCCAGTTATGGATTTTATAATGATTAGGCGATATCTAAGTCTATCTCAAAGATGTCATAAAGTCTCTCGTCCAAAAACTATATTTTCGGCTGCACCACCATCGACTTGCCAGGAATAACATTAAAAGATTGAACAATTTCCAATAAAAAAATAAAATCGACCTTCATATTGAAACAAAGTGAACCTGGAGAAGTTTTTTATATGGTAAATGAAAGCGAAAAAGTAAATAAAAGGATCACATTAAGGAATTTAAGAGCCTTGGGGAATTTGCCATTTCCAGCTTTGCTTGGATGATTGACAAATTGATAACTTAGCCCTGTTATGGTAAGCCCTAGAGGAAAGAAATCCGCTCAATAATAATTTTATGGCAAAACTTGATAAAAAATGAATTTTTAATAAAATCCAAGATGGTGGAAAAAATCTATCTAAGTCTAACTCAAAGATGTTATAATTTCTCTCGTCCAAAAACTATGTTTTCGGCTACACCACCATCGACTTTCTAGGAACAACATTAAAAGATATTGCAAATTTCCATATATTGCAAATCCAAGATGGCGGAAAACAAAACACAAATTAATGGTGCCATCTTTGCGTTTAAAAGTGAATTAAATAAATTAATTTTGAAATTCAAATTAATTGCATAAATCCAATTATATAAAAAGTTTTTTAAATGTTTAAGTTGACACACAATAATTATTGTTACAAAATCACGTCGGATTTAATTGTTAATTACAATAATTATTGAAGAAGAAAAAGAAACCGGACGTCTACATTAAGTTTACGCTTAAGCAAGCATTATTATTTATTTGTTTTATATTAGTGGCTCAACTCTATAAATAAATATTGTTTTTTAATCAAGCTGGTGTATGGTAGAGAAAGAGGAAGTGAAATAATGTCAGCGAGTCGTGTAAAAGTAAAATTTAGGACGGTCGGTTCAGACGTTTTTGTCCCAATTTCATTAATAACTTTCATTTCGCGCCGCGTCGGTATCGCGCATAACTTTCGTCGGCCCAAGCCGACTCGTACGACGTTCGGATGTGAATTATTTAACAAATATGACGACCAAATACAACTAGCAATATCTTTGCAATTATGGTGACGTCATATGTCAACTTAGTTTGCGGTAACGTGTATCGTTTCAACACATTCTATTGTAACTCTTTATTATTGTCAATACGCGTTCCAGCAAACGCGGAGGGCTTATATAATGTACACGGTTTGGTTGGTTTGCTCGCCATTCTACCAACCCAGTTTCAGCGAAACTGTATTCGTTCAGTTTACGTGTTCCCTTTTCCTTTCTATTTAATACCGGTTTTTTTTGTTAATACACAATTACTTTTTAACTTATTCATTTTCCTAAAAAATTTCCATCCATATTTCTGGGAGATTAATTAATGACTTTTAAAATTTTTGTGTTAATCAAAATGATGTTATTATAATTGAGGATATTAGGAAGGAATTATAAAGCTATTATTGGGAAAAGACGAGACTGGGACGTGGTCCAAGTCGTTTAAAAAATTGGAATTTAAATATAGCCCCGTTTTCTCTCCCTCGATTATCTTCGAAGTTCGAAATATTTCATTAAATATCACCCTTTAAGTTCGATTTAAAAGATTGCCTTTTCTGGAAAAGTTTACTTTTATCTGGTATAGTAAATGAAGGTTGTGTTGAGCAATAAAATCTCCGATGACATAAAATATTCAGATTATTACGGGTGGGAACAAAAGAAAAATGCTGATTTGTTGTCTTATTTACGTAAACAATAATAATTAATGATCGGTTGCGAAACGGTAACACTACTGGGTGTGCCTTCACATTCGGTAGTGTGGTTATTGATAATTAAAAAGGCAAGGTCTTGGGCTTTTTTTGTTTGCATATCCTGTACCGTACGCCCACTCCCGTTCCATATCAAGGTTGTCCCTCTCGGTAAGGATAAACGTATTTCGATCGACCCATTACGTAAAGCAACCTTGCGAGACCATATTTTTTTCTCGTCGTCCTCGCGACAGTTACGGCTAAAGTTCATCGTGCCCCCTTAATCTTCCAGGTTTCGCGTCTGCACAAAGAAAGATCAGCAGGAACTCGCAGCCCGTCGAGGAAACGAAACCGGAGGTGAATTTCCATTGTCCGGAAGAATTCGGATACTACCCACATCCGACCGATTGTACATTGTACCATGTATGCTTTTTCGGAAGGCCTGTATTGGAATCCTGCACTGGGGGATTAATGTACAGCCCCGAATTACAAACATGTGATTGGCCGAGAAATGTCGGTTGCGATGGTTCTTCCGACGTTTCAGTGACATCTATAGTATCTTCTTCGAGCATACCCAGCAGATCATCCGAATCTAGAACTAGATATACAGCTCCACCTCCTCCACCACCCGCTCAACCCGCAGCTATTGTGACATCTAGAGGACAACCGAAAAGTTTACACCACACCGAAATTATTAAGGTAGGATTAAAATTATAACCCAACCCAACTTTATAATCAGTTCACCTTGATATTTACAATATTACTTTTTTCTTTATTATCAATGCAACGACATTCAATCTTGAACTTTTTCAGTTGAGCCTTTGTGTGTGGTTTCTGCTGGAAATGTAGATCTGGTTGATAAAAACCTCCTTTCACATTTACATGTACTTTTCTTCTCACTGGACCTTGAAGTTTTCTTGTAAATTTTCTAACGCAACGTCAACACGTGTCGAATTTGTGGATGCGCTCAATGCCAACGTGACACAGTTGCATATTTATCGCGAAATACTCTACAAAGAAACCCTGCGTCCATTGACATTGATTTTACTTTCTCTTTGTCTTGTAGCAACCTCGCTATTACGACGACGATGATGACGAGCCGATCTCCGACCAAATTAGCGATAGACAACAAAGAATCAATCGGGGGCAACCGAAAAAGGTCAGCGACGTACAGAGGGATAGGGACGGATTAGGGTTGGCTAACGCTATTCCGGTAAGTGAGTCCACAAGAATGAATTGATTTCGGTTATATCACGAAACGTCTTCCCAGAGGCCAAACCGCAGAAACCCGTTAAAAAGATTTTCCCACCTTTTAATCTTTATAATCCGTTACATAATAGAGACAGCATACAATTACGTAACCATAATTCACATACTGTGCAATAAAATTAATTAAACTTAACAATAACTGGTAAACTGATCTCTCTCTTGCAGTCGTACAGCGGTCGGGGAGAAAAAATTAGTTCGATTTCCTTCGGAACTCAACAACAGAACCTGAACACGTATAGGTGAGGTATTAAAACTTCCTTTCTACGTTTCGTAACTTAATAACGTTGCTTGATCCAGTTGGACTGACGTAAATGACTTGACTGAGAATAAATTGCGACGAAAAAGACAAATTAGAAGGTAATTTTGTAGGGTTAACTGTCGACCGTGATTTACATAATGAAGGTGAACTTTTTAGCCGGAATGACTGGCATGGTGGCTTCAAAAACACGTTCAACAGACGTAATCCTCCTTTTCTTTTGGTCCCTCCTCCCCCGCAACAAACTTACAACACCAATTACCAACACTTTTTTCCTTCAACACAAAGCCAAGAGGAATTCAGGCCGTTTATACCTAATTACAAGGTACCATATCCGAATCAACAAAGCAATTTCCAATTCTACAATCTAAACACCTTTCGATCCAATGACATAGTTACGCATCCGGTGACATTTAAACCGCGTCAGGAAACAGCCACTAATAACGCAACCGTCGTTAAATTCTCTCTAGTTCACGAGGATAAACCGAAAGTAACAGAAGCAATTACGAAATCGTACGATTCGCGGCCTGCAAACCACAAGCCAATTTTCTCCGACGAAGAGTACGATTACGATGATGATAACGATAATTCTAGTATCGATTACCACAAATACTTACATAACTTTCAAAGCCCATTGAATATTCCCTCTCCTACAACTAACAAACCAGACAAATCAACACACGCTTCCTTGAAATCCACCACCTTACCCAACGAATATTATTATTACGACGAAGAAGAAGAAGATTTATCCACAACAACTAAAAAACCAAAAACAACAACTAAAAAACCAACGTCAAGTATTCCAAAAACCACAACCGGTAAAGATGACGAATATTACTACGAATATGAATACGAGGATACTCCAAAACCAATCAAAAAATCCAACGACGTAAAATACTCCTCTAAATACAGAAACGACCCCAAAGATACCCCTCAAAAATCTTCCATTTCTTCAACCATCCCCACTCCGACGCAGAAAACACAAAATACCCCGATAACTACAATCGCGACCACTGCGAAATATGGACAAACTAATATGACCGACTATGACAAAATGACTATTAGGACCAGGTAAATTAAAATTTTTTTAATGGTCTACATGCACAGCACTGGGTGATTTGAAAATAATATAGAGTGAGTTGAGTTGTAAGAAAAACATATTGAACTAAAACTAGAAACTTTCGGGTTTTACCGTGCGTCCTAAACAGGTTCGAACCTGTTTCTGAACCAAAACGTCTTCTTAAACGTTTTTTTAAAAGACGCACGGCAAATCCCGAAAGTTTCTAGTGTTAGTTCTAATTTTAGTTCAAAAAATATATTTGTCAAATTTGTCAAAAAATATGTTTTTCTTAAAATTCAACGAAACACGATTAAGTTATATACACAATAGTTATTTTAGTATTGCGTGTATAAACTTGTACATAGCCTCGTTCCGATTTCGCCATTTTAGGGGGACATCCTCATGGTTAATCTTTTCTAGTTTAATTTTAATGGCGAAGTAAGCCGTTTTGCATGCATTTTTCCAGTTCCCACGTTCCGGAGGCGCTTGAGAAACGCGGTAAAAGGTCACACGATTGTACATGAAATTGATTCGCGTTACGTCATTTATTTGTATATATATGTATACGCATTTTTTGCAGCTGCAATTGTTGTTCCCATGGCAATGGAGGTTCTCGGTGGCGAGAGCCTCGATCTGAATATTATAATCGCGCCGGTGAAAGTAACTTGCAATTATGAAACTGGTAACGTGGCTTAATGCATGCGGACTGATACATATTCGTGACAATTATCTAGTCGATTAAACGCGCCGCTAACTAACCCAGGAGCACCTATAGGAATAGTTTAGAAGGCAAGGCAACGATCTCTGGGTGACCTTAATAACCTCCCGCGTTATATAAACACTAAATGTCAGGCTGGGTCGGAAACAATGAGATTGCGTGTTATGAAACGACTATAAACGTCAGGTTTTCGTTTGTTTTCGCAGAGTCGAAGAGGCCAGTGTCGTTCCGCAAAAAGCACCCACCATCACCTCCGCCAAAAGCTACAACACCAGTCACTACGACTCCACACAATATGATCCTTACTACAATATATATGATGAGGTCGAACTCTACAGAGATGTTGGTAAGAAAACATCGCAAAAACAACATTCCTTTTCTAACCAAGTTTTATCAGATTATCCTCAACATTACAACACCAACAATGGTGGAAGACAATCTTCTCAAACAACGTACCGAGGAACGCCGGCACCTGCCATCCAAGTAATCCCAACTCAAGAAGATGTATCATCAAAACGGCACAGAACTAACATCTACATTCAAAATCCGTACCAAACTCAAGATATTTACCAACAACCCACTGTTTCAGAATACAGTGACGAAGCATACGTATGTTAAATAATTCCTTTTTTTTATATTATTATTTTTATGCCCGTTTCAATTCAATAGGTTGACGATCACACCAATTACAGACAAACAAGTAGACAACCAACAAAGTAAGTATAGCAGAATTATTAAAAATCGCGAATTATATTAAAAAATTGATTTCTGAACATATGTAAATATAATTTTGAAGCCCTAGGGGTGAGAGTTATGATCTCAATTACTTAGAGGAGAACGCCACCACGAAAAGAACTACAACTACCGCTAGAACTACCACTACTACTACCACCACCACCACAACGACGACCCCGCGATTAAATCCTAGCCCAAAGAGCACGACTCCAACAAGGTACTACAAAGAAGAAGAGCGTCTCCTCAGATCTCGACATTTACCTCTGCTTATCGTGTATCTTTTTGTAGTATCTTCTGTTCTGCCCTCGTGTTGCTTCCTTGATTTTAATCGTTTCTTCATCTAGATTAGTGGTTTTCGAAATACATTTGAAAACTCCTGATTTAGATAAACTAGCTATGTAGTTCTTTCGCTTTATGTAATTCTAAAAACTTTTATAAACTTTCACCCTTTTGTGACCGCTGAAACTGCTTTTCGTTCATTTAAACAGTCACAAAAGGGCAAACCCAAAAAAGGTATTTAAATAATAGGCTGTTTCGTTTATTCTAGCTCAACACAAACAGTGGATATAAACCAAACCGTACCGCTCACACCATCCACAACCTTCGATCCTCTCCCAGACATAGACAATGACACAATAAGCGAGAACAGTGATACAGAGACAAACGAAACTAGCACGCTTGGGTCTAGTGGGAAAGGGTTAGCAAATTTTATTTCATCCAGCACCACACAGCCGCCAGCTTATCACTTTATTACCAAAGCGTCTAAGTCAACTCCAGTTGCTTCGACCCCTAATTATATAGAGAACTATACTTATAGACCTAGGGTTAGAGTGCACAGAAAAAATAGGGTCATTGCGCCGACCACTTATGCACCACCAAAATTCTTTCTTAAATCTGTCTTTCTATCGCCTTCTTCAACTACTACTAAGTATTCTACAAAGTATTCAACAAGATATTCCCCAACCACCCCACCCACTACCACCACCACTATTTTAACAACAACAACTAGATTTAGTACTACTTCAAAACCCACATCAACAACTACTAACTATATTTATCCATCATTTAACGTAGAAAATTTGGATAACGTAGATACTAGCACAATTAGACAAAACAGGATCATCAAAACAATCAGGAAATTCATAAACCCCATTGCTATTAATAACGAATTCGCGGGTACGACTAAAAATTACGAACACCCGAGTCGCGAAGGTATTTCTATTGAGAATTACGTCAACAGAAACTTTCAGGATAATTTCGATGACGAATATTTTGAACCTAATGTTACGACTTCGAGCAGGTACGTTCCGATTCCAACCAAATCGACAACTAGAACTACCACAACAACTACAACACCAAAACCTACGACGACAACACCAAAACCTACAACGACACCAAAACCTACAACGACACCCAAACCTACGACGACACCCAAACCTACGACGACAACTCCAAAACCTACGACGACAACACCACAACCTACGACTACAACCTCTCCAAAACCAATTACAACCACAATTCTTCCTGACTTAAATCAACAACCTTACGACGAACCAAATTTGTATGTTGGACCGAATGAAAAGAAATTTAGACCGACTGTAGAATTTCCAAGTCCAGAGGACTTATTAACTCGACAGGACCAACCGAAACTCGAACCAGATCTTCCACAACCTTACAAACCAAAACCAATCGTGAAACCGGACTCGTTGACCAAACCAACCCTCCCAACTAGAACGTCCCGGGTAAATAATGCCATAAAGTCGTTGATAGCTCTCGGCGGAACGCGCAGGCCGAACACCAAATGTACCGATGCTAAATGCAACGAACTGAACCAGAGGTATTTATCCCTCTACTACGCCATTGCATGATCGCCCATCTTACTTACTTCTTCTGCACCAATTTCCTTAACCAGACGGCCGCAAAGGCCCGCTTCTGTAATCTCGCAACTCCCGAAACGACTGGATGTTGACTAGACACTGACGAATTTCCCCTATATCGCACACACCAACCATTATCGGTTGACTCATTTGACGGCTCCGTTGCCCTGTAGTGATTTTTTTACTGATACATGGCGCATGGTTTGAGCTGGGGTTGACTTGTTAGTAACTCTGCACTAAAAATCGACTACAGCTCTCTTCAAACCGAAGTTAAAAACCAATTTCTTTTAGATCTCACACCAGGGGTAGAGGTTCTGCCCATTACAGTGTTAGTGATACTGGAGTACAAGTTAATAGAGGAACACCACCACCGTAAGTTTGAAACTTTTTTAAATATATCTAATTGGATGACATATTTTTGTGTATTTAGGCGCAGTCGATCAACTCTAAAACCATCAACATCTATCGTTTCTAAAGCCCAAGAATTTGTTGATATATACAGATTCCCACCTCGACGCCCAGATACAATTTATCCCCAACCAGTTCCAGATAAAGCAGCAGCAAAATGTAGAAAAGATGTTTGTTTATTACCAGATTGCAGTTGTGGCGGAAAAGAAATACCCGGTATGTATTGAATAGTTTATATTTAAGTAGTAGAAGTAGCCAATTGCAGAAGTGGAATTTTGGCAGATTAAGAATAAAGGACAATGTAACAAATAATGATTTTTGATAATTAGGAAATTTACCGGAGGACCAGGTGCCTCAAATAGTCTTGTTGACATTTGATGACGCAGTCAACGATTTGAACAAAGAATTCTATAGGCAGCTCTTTGAGCAGGGTCGGGTCAACCCAAACGGATGCCCGATAGCTGCTACTTTTTATGTTTCTCACGAATGGACTGATTACAGCCAGGTGCAAAACTTGTATGCCGATGGCCACGAATTAGCATCGCATACAGTGTCGTAAGTGGCCCAACTTGGCCTATTTTTCCTGTTACTTTAGGTGCCGGTTCCTGATTTCTACTTTTAACTAATCATAACTCGTCAATTCTTTCGATTTCAACATTTCTTTTTTCTTATTTTTCCGCTTGGCATACTAATCCAGGAGATATACCTGTCGATCAAGTGCCGCAAATTGTACTATTGACATTTGACGACTCCGTTAATGATTTGAACAAGGGACTCTATAGCGATCTTTTCGAAAAGGGAAGGGTGAATCCTAACGGTTGTCCGATCGCAGCTACCTTCTACGTTTCCCACGAGTGGACCGATTACAGTCAGGTTCAGAACTTATACGCTGACGGCCACGAAATCGCTTCACATACCGTTTCGTAAGTCATCTCTATCCTTTGTAAAACGCACTCATCACTAACTCGCACTGCACTAACTAAAAAAATACTTTTTTTATCTTCTATTATAACTAATCATGTTTGCTATCAAACTGATCATTTTCTAATTATCCTGAACTAAAATAGGCATAGTTTTGGAGAACAATTTACCCAAAAGAAATGGACTAAAGAAGTCGCTGGACAAAGAGAGATTTTAGCAGCTTATGGAGGTGTTAAACTAGAAGATGTCCGAGGAATGAGAGCCCCCTTCTTATCTGTAAGTTACTTTATACATTTATGAATATATATAATATTAATATTTCTTCAAAAAAAGGTTGGTGGCAACAAAATGTTCAAAATGTTATACGACTCCAACTTTACCTACGACTCTTCCATGCCTATTTATGAAAACAAACCACCCAGTTGGCCTTACACTCTGGATTACAAACTTTTCCACGACTGCATGATCCCACCTTGCCCCACAAGATCATACCCGGGAGTATGGGAAGTCCCCATGGTGATGTGGCAAGATTTAAACGGCGGACGATGCTCGATGGGCGATGCTTGCAGTCACCCCGCTGACGCTGACGGAGTCGTCAAATTATTAATGAAAAACTTCCAAAGGCATTACACAACGAATCGTGCCCCATTCGGGTTGTTTTATCACGCCGCTTACTTTACTAAGGACCACCACAAAGAAGGATTTATTAAATTCTTGGATACTATCAATTCTTTGAAGGACGTTTGGTTGGTTACTAATTGGCAAGCTCTCCAATGGGTAAGGGATCCTACACCGATTTCGAGATTAAATGGTTTCCAACCTTTCCAATGCAATTACAGCGTAAGTATTGAAAGCGATATATTTATATTTATATTGTTATACAAATGTATTTTATGTTGTAGGATCGTCCAAAGAGATGTAATAATCCGAAGGTGTGCAATTTGTGGCATAAATCTGGAGTGAGATATATGAGAACTTGCCAACCATGCCCCGATATTTACCCGTGGACTGGAAACACGGGAATACGCAGTAGTAAAATAGATAATGATATTGAAGATTAAGAAACGAACACTGCCGTGGCCTAATAGGTCGAACACAACAATTTAAATTATTTTAAACGGTCGGCAGTTGGCGGCGTTATTTTTAAACGTCGCCAAGTGCCACTTACCGTCTATGTATCTTTCGGAGAAAATTATTTATAAGAGTATCGCGATGTTGCTGAGGTGTTTGCGTGCGTCACATACCTCAGTAACATCTATACCCATTGGTAACTTATGTATATATTATAAAATTTTGCAATTTCTACTATCTCCCCGGAACAACTTAATTTATTAACGTTCTGTGCTTCAATAGCGACAACCAGTGAGGCAGAATTCAAATTTCTTAATGTTCAGTATAGCGTATGTGCAGCAATATAAATAGGAGAATGTAAAATTTGTGGCATATTAAAAAAAACTTTTTTTTTAATTAAATCATTTCTTTCTTGAACCTTTCCCGTGACATTTCAAAACTAATATAGCGAACAAATAAATAATTCAATATCAAATTGATTGAGTCGGGGTGGAGGGACGTGTATAAAAGCTCGAGGCCAGATTTTTGAAGGGCAAATACAAAAATGAACGTTCACGTAGTTCTTGCATTTTTAGCTGCAACGGTCGAATGCAAGACCAGAAAAAGAGCACTACAAAAATCGCACGAAAAACCCCAAATAGATAAATGGACGGATAAAATACTGGGGAAAGATTTTTTTAATCAAGACTCAACATTGGCGAATTTAATATCAACTGTTATTAATAACCACCTAAAAGATTGCGTTCCAATAATCATATACGATAATCATAGTCGAAACAAATCATCACTTTTGGATCAAATTCTAAAGAAAAGTGAAATCAGTATACTACATGGTCAAATATCCGATGATTTCACTTTAAAGCAAAGAAGGCTAATGGATCCTCAACCGAACGCCTGCAAGAGTTACGTCCTACTTTTACAGGACGTTATAAAAACAAAGGATATACTTAAATTAAAAACATCCGAGAAAATTGTTATAGTCACGAGTGCCTCACAATGGAGAGTCAACGAATTTTTATATTCCGAATTATCTCGAAGTTTTGTAAACCTATTAATAATTTCACCTACTTTAGATTCGCTCGTTAATAACGAAGCTTACGTTTTATATACTCATAAATTGTATATAGACGGATTAGGTTCAAGTGAACCAACAATCTTAACATCTTGGATTAATAATTCTTTTACAAGACCGGAAGTTCAGTTATTTCCGCAAAAATTAGAAAAAGGATTTTCCGGTCATAGATTTATTACGTCGCTTTCAAATCAGCCCCCTTTCGTCATAAAAACAGGTACAGATGATAACGAGGATATCGTTTGGGACGGCTCGGAAGTGCGGTTATTAAAGTTATTGTCAGAAAAATTCAATTTTTCCATCGATTTTAAAGAATCAATAACGGATGTTGAAAAAAGTCCGGCAGACACCGTAATAGATTCCGTAATAGAAAATAAAGCAATAGTCGGTATTTCTGGTATTTATATAACAACTGAACGATTACGTGACTTGGACGTCACTTATCCACACACACAAGATTGCGCTGCATTTATATCCCTAACATCAACTGCTTTGCCAAGATACAGGGCAATTCTGGGCCCTTTTCATTGGTCAGTTTGGGCTGCCCTTACGACCGCGTACCTTCTCGGTATATTTCCCTTAGTATTCGCAGACAAGCACACGCTCGTACACTTAATCAAAAACCCGGAAGAAATAGAGAACATGTTTTGGTATGTTTTCGGCACCTTCACCAACTGTTTCACCTTCGGAAAAGAAAGTTGGACAAAGTCCGATAAAAACACGCCGCGAATCCTCATGGGTTTCTACTGGATTTTCACCACAATCGTCACCGCCTGTTATACCGGTTCAATTATAGCTTTTATCACTCTTCCCATTTATCCGATCACCATAGACACAGTTCGTCAACTACTTTCGGGAAGATTCCAAATAGGAACACTAAATAAAGGCGGTTGGGATTATTGGTTTAAAAACTCAACCGATCCTTACACTGAAAAATTATTTAAAAACGTCGAGTATCTTCCAAACATTGAATCAGGACTTAAAAACACCACCAAGGCTTTTTTTTGGCCTTACGCTTTCTTAGGATCGCGAGCTCAACTCGATTACATCATCAGAACAAAATTTACTAGTACCAATAAAAGACAACTCCTTCATATTAGCTCCGAATGCTTCGTCCCTTTTGGCGTTAGCATTATTTTTGAAAAAAACTCCGAATATAAAGATTTCATCAATAAAGGTATCGGTAATATGATTGAAACTGGGTTCATGATTAAATTTCAAAACGATATTGAATGGAATATGATGCGTAGCTCAACTGGTAAACTTTTACAGGTAAAAATTATTATTTCAGTTTAACACAAAAAAAATTTAATAATTTTTTAGGCAAACACAGGAAATAATTTGAGAAGTATAATAGTTGATGATAGATCATTATCATTAGACGACACACAAGGAATATTTTTGTTACTCGGCGCTGGTTTTCTAATGGGCTTAGCGGCCTTAATATCAGAAATGTTAGGCGGTTGTTTTAATTGTTGCAAAAGAAGAAGATTAAGTGGTATCAGTTTAAAAAGTAACCCGAGAGTTTTCGCTGTGGCAACACCCCGCGAAAAAATCGATTCAAACTTGATTAAAAATGACGATTTAGAAACGAAATTTTTTGGGGATCATTTTGACGCTTTTGAAGAAGCGGAGGAAGTTCCCAGTGGCGAATAGATAATTAAAATCAGTTGTGCATGTGTTAGAAATTTCCAAATGAAAAATTATCTAACTATGCACACCAAATTTTTATTATCACAACGAGAAATAATAGTTAATGGAATTATTTTTGCGTTTGTTTCTAAAGAACAAGTTGGTATATAAAGCGGCAATTCGATTAAATAGATTAAGAATTGCCACAGTACATCACCAAATCCTTCATTTAGAATATAACCAAATTAATAATAAAAAGTGCTTGTCGAAAACAATAAATAAATATATGATTGTCTCAATTACATACTAACAACAATTAAGATCAACCGTATATCAATTTATTATTTTAACTATTTAATTTCTAATTTTAATTTCTTACCATGATTATATCGGCTTAATAACTGTTTCACACTTCGAAAATTTCTTTTAATTTCGATGCTAATATACTCCAGAAATGTTTTGCAAAAAGTTATCGTTCGATAGAAAGAACAATAGCTCAATAGCTTTTAATAATTATATTGTTCTCGTTACAATCGAGACATAAAATTTGTTTGTTACACGATACGACTTTTCCCATGTAATTACAATCGAGATATCGACTTATTTATTACACACAGCTTATTCATTTATACTACCCGCTAAAATGAAGCGCCATCTCTTAGAAAGTAACGCAATCTTTTTATTTTATGCAAGAGACATCTCTTATTAACAGCCTTAACTACACCTCTTTTTAATTAGGAATCGTTATTTATTAATTATTATTTTATTTATTAACTAATATTAAAATTAAAAACACATTAAGTTAACTGCAATTTAAGTGATGTATTTGTAATTTTATAATGTATTTTGGAATCAAAATAAATAATACTTGTCAGTAAGTGTTTAACAGTGTTGCCAAATCATCGCCTTGAAAAGTGACGTTTTTAAAGCGCTAGTTGGTGGCACTGCTTCCAAGTGATGTGCATGTGCAACGATTGGGGTTTGGGGTTGTGATATTTTTTTTAATTTAAATTAACCTCAACTACCCACCCCTTAATTATAAACGAAAAGGTATCAAAATTGGCAATTCCCAGAAAATGATGAACCCGATGGCAAACCGACGAAACGTCAAATCGCCTAAGATCACCCCCATTACTGAGGATTATCAAATCACGAATACCGTCCTCGGGCTTGGAATCAACGGGAAAGTTGTCGAATGCTTCTCTAAAGCTACAAACGAAAAATTTGCACTCAAGGTAAACAAAATTAATCATAATTTATAATAGAGATGTAACATATCAATTGTTGTAGGTGTTACACGATTCGATGAAAGCAAGAAGAGAAGTTGATTTACATTGGAGAGTCAGCGGATGTAGACATATTGTCAACATAATAGATGTTTATGAGAACACTTATAAGAGTGTTAAATGTTTATTGGTTGTTATGGAATGGTAATTTTTTATAAACAAATTTTATTACGAGATTATATTAAGAATATCATGACAAAGAGATGATGTTATATAACATTTTTAGATCTATTTTTCTAAAATTTTTATTTCTGCTTTGAGAGAACTACCAAAAATTAATTTAGTAAATTACCCTTAAATGTAATACTAATAACTGCCTACAAAAGTAGTAAAAATTTTATTCTTAACAATATTGCTCTCTTTCACTTTTGTTCTAAGATTTACAGAATCCAAGAGAAATATGGAAATGTAAAAAATAAGTGGAATTGTGGTTTTACATTTGGTTGATGGTAACACACGGTATTCTGAATATATTACAAAAAAACTTTTAGTATCAAAGTTGTAGCTAATTTAATTATTAACAATTTTACTCCCAGATTTATAAAAACGGAGAAAATTATATTCCATATATTTATTATTTATATATTAATATATTTCTTCCATAAAGTTGTTAATGGTATCACTCGAGATTTGGAGCATGAAACCAAGTCCACCCTGCTTGAAGTTTATGGAAAAAATAATCTCGGCCGACTTCGAAGACGTCGGCCGCCCCAAGTATCACAAACCATAAGTATTATGGTGGCCAACCCAAGTGTCATGAAGAATATTTAGGGCGGCCGACGTCTTCGAAGTCGGCCGAGATTATTTCTTCCATAAATTTGTTAATGGTGTCACTCGGGATTTGGAGCATGAAACCAAGTCCACCCTGCTTGAAGTTTATGGAAAAAATAATCTCGGCCGACTTCGAAGACGTCGGCCGCCTCAAGTATCACAAATCATAAGTATTATGGTGGCCAACCCAAGTGTCATGAAGAATATTTAGGGCGGCCGACGTCTTCGAAGTCGGCCGAGATTATTTCTTCCATAAACTTGTTAATGGTGTCACTCGGGATTCAGAATCTGAAACCAAGTCCACCCTGCTTGAAGTTTATGGAAAAAATAATCTCGGCCGACGTCTTCGAAGTCGGCCGCCCCAAGTATCATAAACAATACTTATGGCGTCCAACCCAAGTATCATGGACAATATTTAGGGCGGCCGACGTCTTCGAAGTCGGCCGAGATTATTTCTTCCATAAACTTGTTAATGGTATCACTCGGGATTTTTTTTTAACCTACTTGAAATTTATGGAAGAAATAATTTCGGCCGACTTCGAAGACGGCGGCCAACCCAAGTGTCATGAACAATATTTAGGGCGGCCGACGTCTTCGAAGTCGGCCGCCCCAAGTATCATAAACAATACTTATGGCGTCCAACCCAAGTATCATGGACAATATTTAGGGCGGCCGACGTCTTCGAAGTCGGCCGAGATTATTTCTTCCATAAACTTCAAACAGGGTAGATCCCATTAACAACATGTAAAACTACAAATTCAGCAAAATTTCATATTTTTCTTGATATTCACCTCAAGTATTGTTCGTGATATAAGAAATAATCTCGAGAATAAATCGAGAATATCTTGTAACTATTTCTTGCATCAAAAGTAATAATCTCTGCCGACGTCACTTCTCAAATTCTTGACTATGTAAAGATTTTTAGCCAAATGTAATAGCTTAGGTCTTGGCAATGTTCAATCTCAAGCTATATTAAAGCTACTAAGTTTATCTGCAGTTGTTGAGGTATAAATTGAATGTCAAATGAAGCTAGCACGCTCCAAATTTCTATATAAAAATTTATTACTCACAAAAATTTCGTCACATAAACATAAATTAAACATTTTCTCAATTGCAATTTTTATTATTGAATTATTGTAATATTTATAGTATGGAAGGTGGTGAACTTTTTCAACGTATTCAGGATCGTCAAGATGGTGCTTTTACAGAACGAGAAGCTGCTCAAGTGATGCATGAAATATGCATTGCAGTAAAATATTTACACGACAATAATATAGCACATCGCGATTTAAAGCCTGAAAATTTGTTGTATACTAAACAAGGACCTCAAGGAATATTAAAATTAACGGATTTCGGATTTGCAAAGGAAGTTCATACAAATACCCTCCAAACGCCTTGTTATACTCCGTATTACGTAGCCCCCGAGGTGCTTGGACCTGAAAAGTATGATAAAAGTTGTGACATTTGGTCTTTAGGGGTTATTATGTATATCCTGTAAGTTTAGAAATAATTTGGTTTTAAAATTGTAATCTATATCTTCTTTGTGGTTTAGATTGTGTGGATTTCCGCCGTTTTATAGTAATCATGGTTTAGCGATATCGCCTGGTATGAAAAAAAGGATAAGAATGGGACAATATACATTTCCGGACGTTGAATGGCAAAATGTTAGTCAAATGGCGAAAGATTTGATCATTGGAATGTTGAATGTGGATCCGATCAAACGACTGAGCATCGAGCAAGTGATTCGAAATACATGGATAGCTGTAATATATTTTTTACATATATATTTTTAATTTTTCATCCAATTCTTTTTAGCAATATATGGCTGTACCTCAAACACCTTTACACACTAATAGAATGTTAAAGGAAGGTGAAGAAATTTGGCCTGAAGTACAAGAAGAGTTGAATAGATCACTCGCAACAATGCGCGTTGATTATGACCAGGTCCATATAAAAGATTTGGATAGTTCGAAGAATTCGCTTTTAAATAAGAGACGTAAACGCTCCGTACACCCAACAGAAAGTTAAACAAAGCGCAAAAATGAAATTAATAATAATTCTGTAGACGCAATGATTTTTTTGTTTCTGTTTGTTTTTAATTAACAGTATTCCAGTTTTGATGGGATCGTCATCGATTTAAATAATGAAATAATGTACTTTCAAAAGTGAGAATAATTGCGTTTTCTTTTTGTTATCACTTTTGATGGTATATTATTAAATAGTTTTATAAAACATTTCACGTGCCTTCGCTGTAAGTTTTAATATATTAGAATATTTCTGGCAGTGACAAGTTTAAGACATCACACAATAATTCGAAGACAAAGATTGTGATTTTAAAACTGCATTTTTTTCTTTAGCTTTATTCCTTCAAAAAAACAAAACTTTTAGACAGCCATGATTAACATTTACGCGTTTTTTATTGTTTCCTATTTCGTCAAGTTTTTTTATCGTTAAATTTCAATGTACTTATTCATCATAATTATTTACGAACAAAGTTTTCCTAGTTGAGTTATTACTTGTATTAAATGTTCATCACGTCATAATGTTTTGTATTTCTTTTTTTAATCAAAATCGTCGCAATAATTAACAAATAAATAAACAAATTCGTGATGTAAATAAATAAATCCATGTTAATGATAGTTGTTATCCATTAAACAAATATAATAATATATAATTAAAGAAAAAAATCTATTATTTATTTTATTTATAAATATATGAACATTTGACATTAAATAAATACAAAACTATTAATTACAAAAGAAAATCGATCTAAGGAAACGAAGATAATAATCATTTATGAATTTACACGGTGATTATAAAAGGTCATTAACATATGCGTCATATTAAGTCCTGCTGCTAACGACACGACAAATATCATCAATACAATGGGCATTGCTAATAGAATGACTTGGGTACGCTGTAAAAACTGCAGGGAACTATAACCTAAGAATGTTATATAAATATAATAACAACAAGCTATTAACCAAAATGTATTTCCAATAAACGTTGAAATGAACCATTCGTGACTTATTAAACCTAAAATTAAATTAAATCAAAAATAAAATTATTATACATTAAAAACAAACAAAATTTACCATTGAAAAAAAATAACTGACAAAAATGTAGGATCATTAGCGGTGGAAAAAATGCATTTAAATGCACATCAAATGTGTAGCCCCATTCGACATCTTGATCGGCGCCGTTTCTAAAATACTTATTAGCAATGTACCTAAAATTAAATTAATTTATTAAATTTATAGATTAATTTTCGCAACGTTATTACCAAAATATCGTAGCGATCACCAATCCTGCACCTATGCAGTCTACAAATATAACGTATAACATAAAAAATACAAACTGGAAGAATCGTAATTTTAAAACTAAAGCGAACGCAATTGAGGTAACTAAAAATTAAAAAAATTGTTATTAGATTTCTTTTAAACTTCACAGAAATAGGCAACTTGCGCCTAACTAATTTCTAAAACAAGGTCTATAGACACAAGTTAATCATGCGATTTTACACCATTTAAGATCTATGAGGAGTCTTTGCAAAACTAATAATTCAACGGCAATTAAAGCGTGAAGGACTGATGTAACTTATAGAGAGAAGACATGTAAAGATAAGTACAAAGTAGTACCTCGAAATTAATAATCAAATATGTGCTTGGATATGGGGAATAAAGTGTTGAAGAGAAATGATAAAGAATGAAAGCAAGAATAAGACAATGGTGGTTATTAATGGAGGTTACAACCTCCGATCAACTGTTCTGCGTGATAAATAGTAAATTTATGAGCAAATACCTTCAAATGCAAAACTTTTATCTTGACAGATCAATTGGAAAATATGATATGCTATCAAGAATATAGAAGAATAAAATGAGGAAAATTGAGGAGAGATAGTTAGTGGGGATATTTGCAAAGGATGGATCAAGAATACTGAAGAAGAGAGTGATCAAGAAAATCACAACCATTTTATCTAGGAATAATTCTTAAACAAATAAACTTGATTATATAATAAAAATATGCCTGGATCATGAATCCTTTGGCTATCCGTCGGTGTATCCTGTTTCCAAACTACGGAAAAAGTGGATCGGCAAAAACTTCAAAATCGCGTAACTTTTGATCGTCGACTTTAAATTTCTTTCTGACCGTTACGTAGTGATCCTAAGGACTCCCCGCGTGTTTTAGAATAAGTAAAAAAATGTTCGAGTTTTTTTTGAAAATGCCTAGAGACAGAGCTTGGAAACGGAAAATTTCACCGAAACAAATATATTCCTATGGACATCATGGGTCCTTTGGCTATCCATTGGTGTATCCAGTTTCCAAATCGGCACGGTAGATCCTGAGATCATTCAAACCATGGAAAAAGTGCATCAGCAAAAAAATCAAAATCGCGTAACTTTTGATCGCCGCCTTCAATTTTTTTTCTGACCGTTACGTGGTGATCCTGAGGGCCCCCTGCGTGCTTTAGAATTAAAAAAAAATCGAATTTTTTTTCTGAAAATGCGACTTCAGCTGGACCACAAAAAAGGCAGAGCTGGGAAACGAAAAATTACACCGAAACAAATATATGCCTATGGACATCATGGGTCCTTTGGCTATCCATTGGTGTATCCCGTTTCCAAATCGGCACGGTAGATCCTGAGATCATTCAAACCATGGAAAAAGTGCATCAGCAAAAAAATCAAAATCGCATAACTTTTGATCGCCGCCTTCAAATTTTTTCCTAACCGTTACGTGGTGTTCCTGAGGGCCCTCCGCGCGTTTTAGAATTAAAAAAAATCGATTTTTTTTTTGAAAATACGACTTCAGCTGGACCACAAAAAAGACGGAGCTCGGAAACGGAAAATTACACCGAAACAAATATATGCCTATAGACATCATGGGTCCTTTGGCTATCCATTGGTGTATCCCGTTTCGAAATCGGCACGGTAGATCCTGAGATCATTCAAACCATGGAAAAAGTGCATCAGCAAAAAAATCAAAATCGCGTAACTTTTGATCGCCGCCTTCAAATTTTTTTCTGACCGTTACATGGTGATCCTGAGGGCCCTCCGCATGCTTTAGAATTAAAAAAAAATTGAGCTGGACAAAAAAACCTCAGAGAAATTTTTACCCTTTTCTTAAAAGTAGCATTCATCATCCTAAGGTTAAAGAAAAAATGGCATAAATAAGAGTGTTTCATTTTTAGATGTTTCAATTCACCATTAAAGCAACATTTTTATAAAAATAATACTTGTTTCTTTAATATGTTTTTAAATACTGATAAGCTATGAACTGATAGTATTTCTATACACCTGGTACATACAGACCTTGTTTCAAAATTAATTAATCTTACCAAATAACCAAAACGAAAATAAGACTAGAAATGCAGGATCATCTCGGGCAAACTGCGATTTAGTTTCTAAACAAAAATTGAGGTTATGATTTGAAATTTTAAAGTGGATTTATTTATGGCTTACGTTTCCTGTATTGAAAATTTTTATATACTTTTTGAGGCGCTATAAATAAATAAACCATTTGCCAGAATGCGAATTCGAAGTCCATCTGATCAAATTTGAGCATCCTTCGTAGGTACTTATATCTTTTCGTAGCCGCAGACATGCAATCTTTCGGGTGATTCGCCGGGGGCGGCAAAGGGCTGCTACTCTTCATGTACGCCATTATATTAATGTTTTGAAGATATCAAGAAAAATTATTCAATTTGAAGAAGACGTTATTTGCATCATCTCTATGGGGTTTGACGTACACTGTTGAGTGTAGCTAACTTCACGTTTGTTGTTTTCTAATGTTAATTAAATTAATTGAATTGAAGGGTTTTATTTGTTGTTTATAAAATTAACGTTAAATTTAATTGGTTATATAGCGTTTAAATTAATATTTATAAAAGAATTTAAGTTATAATATTTTCTATATTTTGATTAGTCTACCAAATGATTTAACCGGTATTCTAAGTATTAATTTAATTGGTGTTTTCTCGTTTATTTAGTTTTATTTTTAATTGTTAATGTGTTTATGGAGTAATAGGGAGTTATTTTTATGGGGTGACTCGCTTAAATAAATAACAAACGTATATTATCAAATGTGGCGCTTTTGTCTACCAAACGTCGAGGTCAGTCTTGGAGTGGCGTGGTGTGTGCTATGTTGTGAATGTCGGTTCCGAACGTTTTAAATAATTATTAAAAATGATAGCTGGTCCAAAAAAGGACGGTAGCCCGAACACAAAGTACTTTGAATCGCCCGAAACATTAACAGCCCTAGAAAACGTAAAACAATGGCTCCAAAAAACCGCAAAGAAGGTAAATATATAGACGCTTCGTCAGTTTGTTAGCGGATATATTTGCAGTTTTTAGCAATTATTTTAATGTATAAAAGTTTTCGTAAATAAATAATGAAATTTTTCTGTTTTTTATTGTTTAAAAATGTTATTGTTTATTATTGGTAATTATTTTTTACGCGGAAGGTTGCGCCATCTGCAAAAAAACCCTGATGATGAACCAAATAAAAAAAAATCGGGGGTAGCTTTTTTATCTTTTTTATGATATTATTAAATTATTAAATACAAAAATTTATTTATAAGAAGAAAAATGTAGATAGCATTTTCTAAATATCTCTTTCGATCAGTTTGGTAAATATACAAGGTGTTTCAAATTGATTGCCCATCATTGGGATTTCATTAGTTAAAAAAGATTCAAATCACATAGTTTTTGAGATCCTAATTTTAGGTATGGAATTTGAGATAAATATGTGTGTATAACTAATATTGCATGTTCATTGTTTTTTTTATTTTTTGTTTTGAATTACTTATTTCGTTAGTAATTTTAATTTATCATTAATGAATCACAATGGGAAAGGAAAATTTTGGTTACGTGGGGTTTAAATTTTAGTACATACAATCAGACCCGCCAACCAACAAAACTCTATCCGCCCTGGTCGTTCAGCTCCTCCAATTTCAAGAAGACAGCCTCGGGAAAAACGTTCAAAAGCCGCCGATGACCCGCATTCCCGTCAAATATTTTATGGATTTCAAAGCGGGCGGCGCGCTTTGTCACATGCTGGCGTCCGCGTTCAAGTTTAAACACGAACAGGGCTGGAGACGTTTCGACTTTCAAGTCGGCAAAGTAGGTTCTAAAAAAAAATTGAAAGATTCAAAAGATTAACATTAAAAATTTTTTTAGACGATTGGCCGACAATTCGAACGATTAATCGAGATGTTTCAAGCTATGGAAAAAACGCTAATTCAAAATAAATTTTATACCTTGCCTATTATTTACGTTAAACCGGATATTGACGTAAAATTAGCTACACGGCTTAAAGAGATTATACGAAAACGTAGTGGGCAGGTTGTTGACGTAGAAGATGTAGCTACACATATTTTGTATCCGCACTGTGACCCATTAGAGGAGGAATACGCCAGACCGGTCGCAAAACGTGATAAAATGGTCCTCATGCATTGGTATTATTTTCCGGATTCATATGATACTTATGTCAATTTTGAAGCGACCCCCGAAGGATTACCGCTGGATGTTCCACTCCAACATATGCCAATATGGAGGGTATCATCAACCTGGCTTTTGGATTCTGATCAATATAATGAGTGGATGGCCGAGGAAGATTACGAAGTTGACGAAATGGGTAGAAAGAGAATACATAAAATGAGGATGTCCGTTGAGGATCTTATGAACCCTTCTGGTGCTGATTTAGAAAGAAAGTGAGTTCAATTTTTTCTTTTTTTCCTTCTTTTCTTTTTGTGTTATCTGTTTTATTATTTTTACTGGATAGTTGTACACATATATTTATCAAACTTGATCAATTATTTTATTTCAACTCTCTCAATAACTTTACAAAACCAAATAAATCTTTATAAATAAAACCCATCATTTCGTTCTATTTCTTTTTCCAGGAAAAAGCAGAAACGTAAACGATCGCCTTCGCCTCCATTGAAAGCGGTGACGAAACGAAAGAGCGGCCGTGGTCCAGCTATTTGTAAGAAAACGCGACCCGATGATTTAGAAACGGAAGATTTGACAAAGGACATGGACGAACCCGTTCCGGAACCGAATATAACGGAGGTTAACCCGGTTACTCCTGGACCTCCAGGACAACCGACAAAAAAGGATCACGAACTTCAACCCTTAAAAGGTGGTTCGATTACGGATTTAGACGAAGGCGATGAACGCAATGAAGATTCTCAAACCGGTAAAAATAGCGATAGCAACACTCAAGATGATGGGCAAGAAGATAACGTTACCGAACAAACTCATCATATTATTGTACCGTCATATTCATCCTGGTTTGATTATAATTCAATACACGAAGTAGAAAAACGGGCGTTACCTGAATTTTTCAATGGCAGAAATAAATCGAAAACGCCCGAAATTTATTTAGCTTACCGTAATTTTATGGTGGATACGTATCGGTTGAATCCAACGGAATATATTACAAGTACAGCTTGTAGAAGGAATCTTGCGGGGGATGTTTGCGCGATAATGAGAGTACACGCTTTCTTGGAGCAGTGGGGATTAATTAATTATCAAGTTGATACCGACTCTCGTCCAACGCCGATTGGACCACCTCCGACTTCTCACTTCCACATACTGTCTGACACTCCATCTGGATTGCAACCAGTTAACCCACCAAAAACATGTCAGCCCAGTGCTGCTAAAACATTACTCGATCTTGACCGTGCGCAAGAAATCAAAAAGATCGAAGGCACAGATCCCATGGCAGGATTCGGATTAAAACTGGACCAATATGCGAAGAAACCCGCTGCTTTACGTAACAAAAGTGCAGCTTCTCTTGCTAGAGATTGGACAGAACAAGAAACTTTATTGTTATTAGAAGGATTAGAAATGTACAAGGATGATTGGAATAAAGTATGCGAACACGTGGGTTCTCGCACGCAAGATGAATGCATTTTACATTTCCTTCGATTACCAATCGAAGATCCTTACCTAGAAGATCCAGAAGCTGGGGGATGTTTGGGACCACTAATTTATCAACCAATACCATTCAGCAAAGCTGGAAATCCAATCATGTCTACAGTTGCATTTTTAGCATCGATCGTAGATCCTCGAGTAGCTGCAGCAGCTGCAAAATCAGCCATGAATGAATTCGCAAGTATAAAAGATGAAGTTCCCGCAGCCATCATGGACTCGCATTTAAAGAATGTTGAAGCCTCTTCAACGGATGGCAAATTTGATCCTTCCGCCGGATTAGCACTTACAGGAATCGCGGGAACCGTTCCAGAAAAGGAAGAAGACGATAAAGTGAAGAAAGAAATCGTTGATAAAGAGGAAGAAAAATCTCAAGATTCAACTGAAACGAAAAAGAACGGTATCGAATCTTCCGACGAAAAACCGGGTGAAAAACAATCCCCTTCGGAACCTATGGAAACCGATAAAGACGAAAAAATGGATACGACAGAAAGTAAAACTGAAAAGGTTATAAGAGATTCTGAAATGCAATCGGCAGCCGCGGCAGCTTTAGCTTCGGCCGCGGTTAAAGCTAAACATTTAGCAGCTGTTGAAGAACGTAAAATTAAATCATTAGTTGCATTATTAGTAGAAACTCAAATGAAGAAGCTTGAAATTAAATTGAGACACTTTGAGGAGCTCGAAACAACCATGGAAAGGGAACGTGAAGGATTAGAATATCAAAGGCAACAATTAATTACGGAACGACAACAGTTTCATTTGGAACAATTAAAGGCTGCAGAGTTTCGTGCTCGACAACAAGCACATCAAAGGTTACAAGCTGAACAAGGTCAATGGGCGCAACAACAAAATATGATGCCTCATTCCGTACCAGCTTCCGAAAGTGGACCGAGTACAACTCCAACACCACCATCTCCGCAAGCGGCAGCCGTTACATCACCTGCTCCACCACCTATGTAACGGTTATGAAAATCGTATTTAAAAAGAATATAAAACAAATTAATTAAAAAAAAACTAATTAATTAGTCAGTGGATTTTTTATGATCGTGAAATAAGAATTGTGAAATTATCAAGTTTTCATAATGTTTTGAAGTTAAGGGCGACTTTATTAATTAATTTTCATTATTAGGTTAATTTACTTTGTAACTTTTTTTGTTTCATTATTGTTCACTTTTTTGCAGTTGAGTTACGTGATTACGAGATATTGTGTCAATATTTTCTTATTAATTTTCATTTTAGATTAAGATTAATTAAGTTTCCTGGAACAATTCCTTGTCTTTTATTCAGGATGATTTATAGAATTGATTATGTACATACATTATTTTATTGAGCCAATTTATTCAATGAACCTTTTTTCGAATCATTTGCAAGATGCAAGATGTATTAATTTATCTTGATAGAGTTGTAAATATAAAATTGATTCCAAATTTTGTAATTTTATTATGACCCACACGATTTTTTTTAATTGAAGAAATATACTTAGAAATTATTTGGAAGTCCTTGTTTTATTATGATACCTGTGTCATTTTGGGGTTGATTAAAACATAACGGTTTATCAAATAATTTTTATTCGTTATATGATATAAAGAAACACATTCCCTATAAAGTTATCTAATATATACATTTCATTTTTCATATAAATTCAAAGGTAAATTAAAGCAAAAAACATCAAGGGAATATTCGAAATTTTGTCACAAATAAGACAAAAAATTGTTTATATAAATAGACTTACAAATAAATGACATAAATATAAAACGACGTAAAAGTTTAACTTTTAAATTAATGATTTAGATAGAGGATTCGAAAAAATTTTAAACTAAAATAAGAATTACATGAAATTAATAATAAATTAATATTATTATTACAGTAGTCAATTTAGTAATAGCTTATCCCAGTCAATTGAAACGTTATACACCTCTTGCTCCAACCAAAGATAGTAGTGCTTTTTAAAACTCTCGGAGAGTTCATGTTGAGTACCCAATACACTATTTAGGCAGTTATCTACTGGTTCATAATCAACGTCCTACAAAAAAATAAATGAAATTTGAGTTAAATTTTAAAATAATTTTTTTTTCCACCTTTGTATTTGTAGTATATCGGCGATTATTAAACCTGTCTACAGATGCTCTCAACGCGCATTCCTCACCTTGAAAATCCCAAGGCCTAGCATCTAAATCTAAACAAATAAATCATAAATAAAATCATATTTTTTAATTCTCATTTTTTTAATTACCATTTCCAAACGCCCAATCATCGTTGAGATGATGCCTGACTTTAGCATAAATAGCACTAATTGTTTTCATATTCGATTTTCTCCACTGTCGTCCCAAATATTTCGTTTGCATTTTAAGCAATTTTAAAACGTACAATTGCGTCATTGCATGTCGTACTTTTAATGTACGTTTTAAAATCGGGGCGGATTTGAAAACAACAAGCATCTTAAAGAAAAGTTTTATATATTTATATCAGTACTTCCTGATACAAAAATATTTGTATACATACAGGGGGGTGTTCCATAACGAAGTATCAAAATAAACTCGCTTGAAGTATATGGAAAAAGTAACGCCCCCGAATGTTTTTAATACCAGAAAATATTAATTTGATGTGATATTTAAGGCGGCCGACGTCTTCGAAGTCGGCCGAGGTCACTTCTTCCACTAGATTCAAGCGAGATAGGCTCAAACTCACAAATAATATGTTATGCATTAGGATTCGCAAAGTTTTGGTTTTTTCGAACCAACCTTTCACCTCGGTACTAAAATTGATGGAGAAGTAATCTCGGCCGACTTCAAAGACGTCGGCCGCCCCCGAATATTTCCAATACTAAAGTTACTAGCTCATGATACTTGGGGAGGTTACTTCCTCCGTCTGTTTCAAGCAAAGTAGGTTTAGACTTACACGCAACATGTTAAGTATTAGGGTTCACAAAGTTTTGATTTTCTCAAACCAACCTTTGCATCTAAGTACTAAAACTGATGGCAGAAGCAACCTCGGCCGACTTCGAAGACGTCGGCCGCCCCCGAACATTTCCAATATCATAGAATACCAGAGTTAATGATACTCGGGGCGGCCGACGTCTTCGAAGTCGGCCGAGCTTAGTTCTTCCATCTGTTTCAAGCGAGATAAGTGTGGACTCACACGCAACATGAAATCTTCAAAATAGTATTAATTGTTAAAAAAAGCTTCTAATTAAAATAAGTCAGAAACTAAAAACACTAGGTATCAACATGTCTTATCAAAGTCAACATATTTTTGTTTCAATCATTTAAAACAACATACATTTATGTCAGTACTTTGTTATGGAACACCATAACACAAATATTTTCTTATTGTTATTTATATACTTTATCATTTTAATTAAAAAAAATCTTACCATTATCCTAGAGTGTTTCCATTTAGTTAATTTATTTAAAATTCTTAACAAATTAATACATGAGTATATATTTCTCCATGAATATGGCGCCGCGTAACCTATTTCTAAACTTTCGGCAGTGAGTTCAGGTTGATCACCAATTACACATGCTGGGAAATCGAGTATTGGAATCCTAAAAAATATGGGAATGAATATGTATAAAAAAATAGATGATTTAATAGTTACATATTTATCGCTGAAACAAAACTCATTACGTTTTGATTAAAAAATTTGAGCACTAGCGGTATACAGTTTGCGAAAACTAAATGTTGAGACATAAAATCAAATTGACACACATGGTTCAATTTGAAGTGTTTTAAAAGTAAAAGAAGAATCGCTGAGACGGCTTTTACTATTATTTCTTTGTGTCTATTTACATCTAAACCAAGTTTCATTGATTGAACAACAGTCATCCTTAAAATAAAATTATTCAATTATGGATTAATTTAAGTTTTTTTTTTCTTACGGCATTTCATCTGGTAAAACATCCGACATAATATTTATAGAATCTGTTTTAGCTTTTGAGGTAGGTGCGGCTGCGAGAAGAATTTTTAACAAGGCGATCATGTATTGTGGTAAATTAGGTAGCATAGCTTGATATAAAACTTCGGTTGGAGTCATTTCAATTTCTTCTTCTTTACACGATAATGGATTTCTAGCTATTTCCTCTTCTTTTTGTATTTGTAAATCAGCTAAGGATGTGTACATATGCTCTTTTAATGTGCGTACTCCTTCGTGAATAGGTTGAGGTAATCCTGCTAAGCTGTCACGATCATCTTGAAGGACATAACCGATAAATTTCATTCTTGCACTTTTTAAAAATACGTCTATATCACGTTGTCGTACTTTAGGTTTCCATGGTAAACCACGTGATGCTGGAAGTTGAACGGGAGGTGTCATGGGTCTTTGATACTCGCCATACATTTGTCTATCGGTATTATCGACGGGTCGTCTTTCTTCGCATTCGGAGAGTTCTTTCATTATTTCTTCCCCAATTCCAATACTACCAGTTTCTAATACAAGCATTAATGGGTCGTGATCGTCTAAGGAACTTTGCTTGGTTAACCCTTTTCGAAACATTCTAACATTTCTTTTTTGATTTTGCATTTCTAATAAATCTGTAGCGCTCGCCGGTGGAGATGAAGCTCTCATATTTTTAGCTATTTCCATGGTGTCTTCGTCTAAAGGTGGGAGTCCGATTTTTTCGCGTTTCGCCGCTTTCATTAATCGTAACTCTTCCATTCCTCCTAATGATACTAAAATTAATTTCCACAGCAATAAAAGAACCTTTTTCATTGGAAAATGGGGGGCGGCTCCGCTGCAAAATCTTGTTACCATACTCAATAATTTTATTACAAGTAAATCATCGCCGGTTGTATTTACAATTTCGTTGGTGAATGAATCAACCTTTGCTTTATGTTCTGTGCTATCAGAAAGATTCTCATTTCTTATTGCTTCGGTTATTGTGTATAAAACCGAAAGAATTACGCGTAAATCTTGACTATCAGCTAATGATACTGCTAATTTACGCATTGCAACATGAGCTGCTGCGCTATTTCTAAAGAAATAATTAACAAAATTTTAAGAATGATTTTAAAAAATTTTTGCACTTTTACTCACTTTATTTTTTACATGTTTCGCCTGACTTAATAGGCATCATCAGGAGACATATTATATTTAATACAGAATATTTTATTAACCAGTAAAAGTGCAAAATTTTTTTACTTATCTAAGTGTATTAATTAAATAAAAGATTTACTTACTCGATTTCAATGTTTAATAAATCAGTAAAAGCTGTAAAAACGCCAAGTTCATACAAAAGTAAAGAATTTCTATGAGCCCACTCTTGCTGTTCAGCATCAGATTGAACTTCAACCCAACATCCCTGACAAATATATAAAATACACCTCGCGGCTCTCATTCGAAGCACTTTATTACTAATTTCTAACTGATCAAGTAATTTCATCACAACAGATTTCTGATTTTCAGCTGCAAGTTTCTGCCAACAAGGAGGCAAGTTATACTGTTCCATTTGATCTTCAAATGCTCTCACATTCAGCTGAAATTCCGGTTGTTCTGTGTAACTATAAAGTTCAGCAATTTCGTTTGCTGCTGTATCCGTGTCATCGTATATAAAGTCGAGATCAGGCGAGTCTGTTCCACCTCCCTAAAGAAAAGAATAAAAACGTTTAAAAAAGTACAAACAAAAGGAAATAAAGAATGGATTCATTTGTGGGGAATTGGAAGTTTAGAGGGCGTTTACTCAAAAGGAATACGTGCATTTAAATCCAAGAACCTCTCAGTGAGGTCCAATTTGATGTTGTCATCCATCTTTCGAACTTGTACAGTGGTAAACAACTTTTGAATATCGCCCTTTTCAATGCACCGAAGCTGTTTGCGCCATCATTACGCGAGGAAATACTGATTTTCAAAGAAGGACTTACATCGGAATCTTGTCTCTGTCTTCTAATGATGTCCCTAAGTTTGGGCATGCCTCTTTTACCATTTCCATTACTATCCATATCGTAAACTGGTTGAGCATACTGCTTGTATACTACAAAAAATCATTAATTTAGGGTTGAACGCGTTCGTGTACTGTATTTTACTTCATAACGAATACAGTTTCCTGTAAAATTCTTATAGATATCTTTATTATACTTACCACAACAAATTATTTTATTATCTAGATGGCGCTACCAATAAAACTATAATTTCAATTATAATTATAATATTTTTAACTTTGTTTCTTATCGTTGTAATAAAATTTCTGCTTTGATTGTCAATGGAAGACGTTTGTTAGAAACAGAGTTGCTCAAATTCAAGACATAAAGGTTACAAATGGAAGCATGTTAAATCAAACGACAATCCAGCGGACATAATTTCGCGTGGTTTAAGTCCTATCAAATTAAAAGAAACGAAATTGTGGTGGCATGGTCCGCAATGGTTATCTGACGATGAAAGCAAATGGCCAAACTCAGAAAATAACATCAATAGATCAGAACTACCAGATCAAGAAAGAATATCGAGTAACTTTCAAGTTTGTATTATACAGGATGTCCCGCAACGATTGTACAAAACTGCATCAGCGTATTCTATGATCAAAAATAAACAAAAAAAGCCTAATAAACATAGGTCCGAAAATGGACCATTTTCGAGATATTCAAAGATTTAGTTTCATAAGTTGATATTGTTAACATCATGAATTTAAATTTGTTTTTATAATAATTAAGTCGTTACTATGATTACGATAAGTTGTCTAATCAAAAAAAAATAATAATACTTCACGAAATTATTATTTTACTATTTAATTTAATAAAACTATTAAGTATGGCTCCTATTAATTACTCCAAGGAAGAGATGGCGGATATGGTGTATTGTTACGGACTAGCTGATGGAAATGCGTCGTTAGCAGCTCGTCATTACGCGCAAAGGTTCCCGAACAGACGATTGCCTAATAGTCACACCTTTAGCAGACTATTTCTCAGATTAAAAGAAACGGGAAGCGTAACCCACAGCCATTCCACGGAGAGACATTACACAAGGCCGGTGGAATTAGAAGAAGCAGTTTTGAGAAGAGTCGNTACGAAAAATAACGATTTAAAGAACGAAATCTAAGAAATTCAATAACCTCAAACGGAACCGTTACAAATCTTATGGCGTAAAGAAAATGTTCAATGTTTTGAATTGAATCACCGTCAAAACTTTAGGTTTGTCATGGAATCATAAGAACGATGTTTTTAATTTTCCACAAATTAAAATTGAAGCAACTAAAGCAACAAAGAGAAATATTTTGTCATTTATTTCACGTATATTCGATCCACTTGGCTTAATAGGTCCATTGACAATCAAAGCAAAAATTTTATTACAACGATTATGGGTTTTAAAAATTAATTGGGATGAATCATTGCCCGAAGATTTACATTATGAATGGACTCAAATATACAAACAATTGGATACCTTAAAGGTTCTTGAAATACCAAGATGTGCAACTTGTATTAACTTTCATTCAACTGAAATTCATGTATTCTGTGATGCATCTGAAGCCGCATACGGAGCTTGTATTTATTTACGAACAAGAGATGAAACAGATCAGTACCATGTACAGTTATTATGTGCAAAATCACGTGTTGCACCATTAAAACAACAAACATTACCACGATTAGAATTATGTGGTGCTGTTTTAGCAGCAAAGGTGAGTAGAAAAATAAAAAGTGTATTACAACACATAACTATTGATTCAATACATTATTGGTGTGATTCAAGAATTGTGTTATCATGGATAGCAGGCGAGTCTAGTCAATGGAAGACGTTTGTCAGAAACAGAGTTGCTCAAATTCAAGACATTTCAGAATGTTACAAATGGAAGCATGTTAAATCAAATGACGATCCAGCGGACATAATTTCGCGTGGTTTAAGTACTATCAAATTAAAAGAAACGAAATGATGGTGGCATGGTCCACAATGGTTATCTGACGATGAAAGCAAATGGCCAAACTCAGAAGACAACATCAATAGATCAGAACTACCAGATCAAGAAAGAATATCGCGTAACTTTCAAGTTTGTATTATAGAAGACATCTTATCAAGATTTTCTAACTTTAACAGACTCCAGCGAACCATAGCTTACTATTACAGATTCATTAACAACAGTTTTCGAAACAAAACTAAATTTTCAGGAACATTAACAGTGGAAGAAATAAACATTGGAATATTAAAAGTGATACGCAATATACAAATTCAACATTTTCATCGAGAAATAACCGATTTGCAAAAGTATTCATTAATAAATAAGAAAAGTAAACTATTGAAATTGTCACCAATATTAGAAAACGACGGCATACTCAGAGTTGGTGGACGTTTGAGCAATGCAGACATAGATTACAACATTAAGCTCAGCGCGTCCATGACAACAAAACAAAATGTCATTGCAATTAATATTATTATTTATTACGATAAGTGTTTCTTTTGGTGTAAAAGCAAATCAATAAATAAGAAATTAGAGAAAGGTGATTCATTTCGAACTTTTCCCAAACATCAGCATTACAATGATATATGCCCCAAGTGTCATGACCAATATTTATGGGCGGCCGACATCTTCGAAGTCGGCCGAGATTATTTCTTCCATAAATTTCAAGCAGGGTAGACTTGATTTCACGCTCTCAAACCTGAGTGATATCATTGACAACTTGTAAAACTATGAGTTCAGCAAATTTTTATATTTTAGGTCTTTTGGCAGCAGTATCTAGTCTTCAGAACACAGTAACTAGTCAAATATCAGCAATATCTAATCTGATAGGCATATCTAGTATTCTGCACGCAACATTTAGTCTTCTGCACGCAGTATTTAGTGTTCTGGGCGCATTATTTAGTCTCCCATTAACAATATGTACTTGTCAACACCCCAGCGGGACTTAATTAATTAAAAATTAAATTATAAGACAAAAAAACATTTATTTATTAAATATCTCTCAAATTATCAAACACAAATACAAAAATTTCTTTTTTTTACATATTTAAAATAATTTTTTTTATAAACATAATAATTTTTTATAAACACTTACTTAACGTATTGACCTTTATAATAATAGGTACATAATTCAAACATTTTATTTAAAACGTTTGAAAAGTAACCATGATCTATAGAATCGACTACATTTTCGCTAATATTAATCGAAAATTCTTGTGTAAATGGAATTATTAGTGGATCACTATCTTCTGGTTCGTTGTCATCTTTAAGATCATTCTTATTTTGATCGGATGGAGTTCCCTCATCATTATGTGTCATCTTTTCTAATGTAACAACGATCTCGTCAGTACTTGTATTAGCAGAACTTTGATTGTTTTTGTTAATACCAGTATTATCGACCCACGTAATTTCGTAAACATTCCCCATCACATCAGTAATAACATCTTCAGTGGGAGACTTGTGACGCGTGAAATTTGCAGAAAAATCAACAACTTTCAAATTTTTCTTGTTGACTGGAGTTTTATTTTCATCCAAGGTTGTAGGAATCAAATTAATATCATTTTGGGTTGCAATTTCAGTATCGTGATTTACTTTTATTTCTTCGTTGATGGGAATATTTGATACTTTCTTGTTATGGTTTGCGATAATTAAGTTATTATTTGCAATGAGCCGCTCAAAGCGTTTTATTGTACTAATTCTTGATAGACGGATATTTGGATTATCTAGCGGGAATCTTTTATTTAATTCATCAATTTTTTTTAAAAACGTTTTTCTCAACAACCTTTTTAGCATGGGTTGTTTCTTTCTGTGGCGGCGACGTCTTAATGTTCTGGGACGATTCATAACTTACAAAACTAAACAAAAATTTTGTTTATAAAAATTTGTTAGATCAAGTTTCTGAGATATATGAAATATTTCGCGGAATTTAATACTTGGCGTATTGATATAAATTAGAAAAATCGGTAACTCGAGCATATTTTTAACTAAATTTATCAATGTTATTAAGAATCGAATCAAAAAACGTATAGTTATTAGGTTATGTATTGTCATCTCAAAAAGGTTATAATTACATCGAGTAAAACAAAAAATATTGTATTTCTGATTACTTACAATTTAAATAGGAGCACGTTTCAACACCTTCGAAGTTATTTCTAATAAGAAATCACAGCCAATGTGCCTCTTCCTCGAAGTGGGTGCAAAAACAAATTAAACTTTATCTGGCGCATGCGCGTTTTATGCGCTGCTTGAAATTTCACCTCTATGTAATGCGGGAAATTTAAAATTAAAAGAAACGAAAAAATTTAATAAAATAAAAAGCGATTTATTTTATTTGTAATAAATCTAAGAATTATTGAATATTACAGAACTTAAAGATAATTATAAAAATACAAATAAAATAGTAAAAAACAGAACGAAAAGGTAATCTAAAATAAGATTGTGTTACATCTTGTGATTTTGATCACTATTTATTATTAATGATGTCAATTAACAAAATATCCTTCGGTGCAACCCAATTAACTTTATATGTATTACCAAAATTATCAGTGATGAAGTCATCTTGAATTGATATTTTGTTCTGATCTTTAATAGGTTCCTCGTCGTCATCAACAATAATGATCTCATCTTCATCAGCTTGATCATGAACATTTTGATCAAGTTTATACTCGACAGCGAGAGATTTGTTGAATTCAGAATCTGTCCAATCATCATCAATGATTATAGTCTCTTCATTCAATGGGACTTCGTTAATTTCCACAGTTTCATAATTATTCTCCTCCACTTGTTCATAAATTAGGTGATCGTCGTTATTGGAGCATGAGGATGCATGTTCATATCCAATTGTAATTTGACCTAGAACGTCAGCGTATGGCAGACGCCAATCAGCAGATTCCTGCTTAATATCATCAACAACACTTACATCTTCAACTGGGTGTTTAGAAATAAAGACATTAATACATGGTGGAATCTTTTTCAAATGTTGAAGTATGTCTTTTCTTTTAGTTAAATGGTCTAGTGTTCCCTTCAATAAAGATGGTCTATTATTTAATGATGTTAAAGATATAAAAGAACCATTAGGTAATTTTTTAATCACGACTGTGTTCTCTGCAGCTATTGCTGTTAAATTTTGCTGTTGTAACTTGTTGTGCTCAGATATCTTCTTTAGAAACCTCGATTTCAACACTGTTTTTAATAAGCTTTCTTTCTTTTTGAGATGTCGGTAGTGATTTGGTGGTGGAGTATCCATAATTTTGAAGTATCTTCAAAAATTAAAACAAAAAAAATAAATTATATTATGATGAAATTTTTATGAATTTAGCAAAAAACTATCTTGGAAATTTGATTTACTAGAGGTAGTTCCAGCAGGAATACATCAACCCAGAAAATATTGGATAGACTTAATTAAGCCGAGGTCCAGCAGGATTTAACCTTGGCACAATCATGATCAGAGATCATTGGATATGACATAATAATTATAAAAAAGGTAGCCAGCGTACTGCAACGCTTCGGCAGGAATTAACCTCGCTAAATCAGGACCACAAAATGTTGGATAGACTTAATTAAGCCGAGATAACTCAGCATGTTGTAACAAAACTAGACAGCGTATTGCAACATCCCAGCAGGAAATGGCCTCAACAAAATCAAGACCAGAGAACGTTGGATGTTCTGAATCAAGATTAACCTAACCAGCGCAATACAACACTCCAGGAGGATTTAACCTCGCTAAGCCAACACAAAAAAATGTTGGATTTCATTTAACAACAAACTATGTCTTACTTTTTAATTAAAACATAAATGTAGGGTGTTTAGAAATAAAGACATTAATACATGGTGGAATCTTTTTCAAATGTTGAAGTATGTCTTTTCTTTTAGTTAAATGGTCTAGTGTTCCCTTCAATAAAGATGGTCTATTATTTAATGATGTTAAAGATACAAAAGAACCATTAGGTAATTTTTTAATCACGACTGTGTTCTCTGCAGCTATTGCTGTTAAATTTTGCTGTTGTAACTTGTTGTGCTCAGATATCTTCTTTAGAAACCTCGATTTCAACACTGTTTTTAATAAGCTTTCTTTCTTTTTGGGATGTCGGTAGTGATTTGGTGGTGGAGTATCCATAATTTTGAAGTATCTTCAAAAATTAAAACAAAAATAATAAATTATATTATGATGAAATTTTTATGAATTTAGCAAAAAACTATTTTGGAAATTTGATTTACTAGAGGTAGTTCCAGCAGGAATACATCAATCCAGAAAATATTGTATAGACTTAATTAAGCCGAGGTTCGGCAGGATTTAACCTTGGCACAATCATGATCAGAGATCATTGGATATGACATAATAATTATAAAAAAGGTAGCCAGCGTACTGCAACGCTTCGGCAGGAATTAACCTCGCTAAATCAAGACCACAAAATGTTGGATAGACTTAATTAACATTGTAACAAAACTAGACAGCGTATTGCAACATCCCAGCAGGAAATGGCCTCAACAAAATCAAGACCAGAGAACGTTCGATGTTCTGAATCAAGATTAACCTAACCAGCGCAATACAACACTCCAGGAGGATTTAACCTCGCTAAGCCAATACAAAAAAATGTTGGATTTCATTTAACAACAAACTATGTCTTACTTTTTAATTAAAACATAAATGTATTGATAATAAGCCTAAATTAATTATCATGTGTCAAATATTAAATCCGAAATATGTAAACAAAAAGGTTAAATAAATAACGTATTGATGAAGAACAAAACACGATAAGGGATTAAAAATAGAATAATGAGAATCAAATTATGAATTACAATGATGTTTGATTACTTACAATTAAATTGGAGCACTTTATAACACTCAAAGTAGCTTTTAAGAAGAAATCGGCAAGAAGTTGTTTATTCTGGTGTGTCAAATATGAACGATGGCGTGGGTTCTGCTTCTCGCGCTTGCGCTATATGTGGATATATAGGAATTTAGCCTCTATAGCAAGGCGGGAAATTTAAAATTGAAAAGGAAATAAAAACAAGATTTTATTGAGGACATTGTTTAATATGAAAATATGTTTTTTTAACAAACATTATCAAAATATTACGTCCTAAAATATTCTTTTTTAGAAATATACAGTTTGGCAAATACTGTTATTAGGTTTTTATTTTAATTGTTGTTAAGCTCACAGTAAATATCACATATTTATATAAATATGGTAATATGAATATTGTATCAAAAGATATTTATAGTGATCTTTTTTATAAAAAAATTTAAGTGATTGTAAATAAATCACTGAAATTTTCGAAATACTTAGAACTACAAAAAATAAACTAATAGTTTATATCTCAAAAGATATTTACAACAAAATGAACGATAACGTTATTTAGAATTTTACAGTGATTGTAATCAAACCACAAAAAATTGTTTAAAACACTAAGAACTTGTTGAAATTGAATAAACTTATATTCTATCTAATACTGTTATTAATAATGACTACAAAAGATTATTTAATAGTTATTTTAAAATACCAAATTTTTTTAACTCAAAATAAATACTACTTGTTTTATAAATGTAATAACAAGTATATTGCAAAATAGTTATTATCACAAGATATCTACAATAAAATGAACGACAACATTATTTAAAGTTTTGCAGTGATTGTAATCGAACCACAAAAAATGTTAAAAGAAAGATTTGAAATTAAAAAAATAAACTTATATCTAATACTGTTATTAATAATGACTACAAAAATTAAGTAGCCAAAAAAACATACTTATTTTAAAACACAATTTTGACAAGTATATTGCAAAATAGTTTTTACCAATAATGACATGAACGAAAACATTATTTAGAATTAACCACCAAAATTGTTTAAAATGCTAAGAACTATTAGAAACTAAAAAAATAAACATATATTCTATCTAATACTGTTATTAATAATGACTACAAAAAATTAAATAGCCAAAAAAACATACTTATTTTAAAACACAATTTTTTTTCACTACTTGTTTTATAAACGTAATGACAAGTAAATTGCAAAGTAGTTTTTACCAATAATGACATGAACGAAAACATTATTTAGAATTAACCATCAAAATTGTTTAAAATGCTAAGAACCATTAGAAATTAAAAAAATAAACATATATTCTATCTAATACTGTTATCAAAAATTTACGAATATTTAAAAAACATACTATTATATAGTTCTTAGAGTAAATATCACGTTTTATATATGTAATAACATGAATTAGTTGGCAAAACAGTACGTCTATATGCGAATAGGAACATATAATAAAAAATTAAATTAAAAAAATGAACAAGAAACACCTGTTTATATGATATGTTGATATTATTCAGGTTTTTTATATACATCAGTAACATTCGAATTATCACTTACGATGATTTTTTCAAATGATACTTCCTCCCCTAAGATTTGATTCAAGTTATCTTCTACGATCTTGATTGAATCAACATCATTTTTAACGGCGGAGTCTTCATTAACTGCGGATTGGTCAAGCCAGTCAATTTTATACTCAACGCCGTCATCATCAGTTATGACAGATTCAGTGGGGGATTTGTAGTTAGAATCAGCATCGACATCAATAATGGATACGTCCTTTTCTTCTCTGGGGGTTACATCAATCCAGATGGTTCCATCGTCTTCTTCTATTCCGCGATGAATTTCATCTAGGATTGATCCTCCCATTGAAGTTGATGGCATCATATCCATTGGAACTGTGGTGTTGTCATCTGACAGCAGACGAAGGTAACTTAAGATTTGTGGGTTCCCTGCAGCTGTTAGCTCAAAATGTTCTACCAATGCTTTCGTAGCTATTTGCATTCTTCTATTTGTTAGTTTTAATTTGTTTAAAAGAGCTATTTTTTTTAATAAATTCATCCTCATTACTAATTTTCGTAACATTCTTCGGCGATCCATAATTACGAGTTGATACTAAATAAAAATTAAAAAAAAAAAAAAATTTAAAAAAAAAATTAAAAATATTTCGTCTTTTATGAGTTGCCATTTTGTGAATATAATTTAACAAGATGGCGGAATCAAGTGTGTAAAATTATAATTATTAAAAAATAAAATTTAATTAGAATTAATAAATCCTTAAAATAATGGAATCATTATTTAGTTTCGCTAAAATCGGAAGATTCTTTTTAACCTTCTTCAAAGAATTTCAATATGAAGGGTGAGATGACGTAATCCCTTCTTCCGAAATTTTTACGATCGATTTCTATCTTATATATAATATTAAAAAATCAAATCTTAATCAAATCTTAATCAAATCATAATTAAATCATAACCAAATCTAAAATACTGGCAAATAAAAATGGCAACATTGAAACCATGCATGATTATGATTATTTCATCGAATAAAATAAAAAGAAATTAAACAAATCAAAACAGTTTTTGATTACTTACAATTAAGCTGGGGTAGAACTTGGAGTAGTAACAGCTTTGGAGTTGATTCTAACCGGAGGTGTGTTCTTAACGCGTAGCAAAATGGAAGTGGGGAACTTTATGCAGCATATGCGCGTTTTATACCCATCAGGCAATTTGACCTCTATGCACGGCGGGACATTTGAAACTTAAATTTTTGCTAATATCTCCGTTGTCTTTGGAGGTAGCTAAATAATAAATACATCATTATAAAGCCTGAGTTTTTCTTCATCTACACCTTAAAATCATCAATCTTCAATACTACCATAGAACCCAGAATTAAAGAATTATTAATTTGAAAAGAACACCTGCAGGATATGCATGTTGGAAACTTTCCACTTTTATAGGGTTGCGAAATCGATGACGATACTTCCTGTTTTTACACAAACCTCGTTTTTCTTGGAATTAAAACGGTTTCGGGATAATAACTTTTTTATATGATAATAATTGACCTAGAATGTCAGCGTATGGCAGACGCCAATCAGCAGATTCCTGCTTAATATCATCAACAACACTTACATCTTCAACTGGGTGTTTAGAAATAAAGACATTAATACATGGTGGAATCTTTTTCAAATGTTGAAGTATGTCTTTTCTATTAGTTAAATCGTCTAGTGTTCCCTTCAATAAAGATGGTCTACTATTTAATGATGTTAAAGATACAAAAGAACCATTAGGTAATTTTNGGATTAATTAAGCCGAAGTCGACATTTTTGCTAATATCACCGTTGTTTTTACTCTTTAGAGATAACTAAATAATAAATACATCATTAAAAAGCCTAAATTTTTCTTCATCTACACCTCAAAATCATCAATCTTCAATACTACCATAGAACCGAATTAAAGAATTATTAATTTGGAAAGAACACAATGTGGCATATGCATATTGGAAATTTTCCACTTTTATAGGGTTGCATAACAAAAATCGAATACGACACCTGTTTTTACACAAACCTCGTTTCTGCTGAGTATTAAAACGCTTTTGGGATAATAACTTCTTTATATGATAATATGATATGAACAAAACTAAAGATAATGAAGAATCGACAAGAATTTTTCTGCGGAGTTGTAAATTTTCGGATTAATTAAGCCGAAGTCGACATTTTTGCTAATATCACCGTTGTTTTTACTCTTTAGAGATAACTAAATAATAAATACATCATTAAAAAGCCTAAATTTTTCTTCATCTACACCTCAAAATCATCAATCTTCAATACTACCATAGAACCGAATTAAAGAATTATTAATTTAGAAAGAACACAATGTGGCATATGCATATTGGAAATTTTCCACTTTTATAGGGTTGCATAACAAAAATCGAATACGACACGTCCTGTTTTTACACAAACCTCGTTTTTGCTGAGTATTAAAACGCTTTTGGGATAATAACTTTTTTATATGATACGAATAAAACTCTAAGATAATGAAGAATCGACAAAAATGTTTCTGCGGAGTTGTAGATGTTTTTATTAATTAAACCTAGATCGCTTGCGGCCGAGGCTCAGTGTAGCGCCTCGGCCTATATTGTAGCGCCTCGTCTTAATTAATACATTTATTTAATTAATTTCTTAATACTTTATTAATACATCTAATAATGCCAAAAACAGTTTTTATACAAACGGAAAAAAATAAATCAATGATTAAAATTTTTTTTATATCAAAGAATGGAAACTAAAATATGTGTATGAAAATTACTTAATTAAAGTAGAGAAATCAAGATTTTCTACAATTTCATTTTCCATAGAGAACATACATAGGTCTTTATTAATTTTAATTTGAAAAAACTGCGTTCAGCTGCAACTGTTACTGGTATTGTTGGCAGAATATGTAGAGTTATCCAGGTGTTAGGAAACAACTCTTAAAGTGAGTCTTTCAGGTAATGTTGCAAACTCAAGATTTTGTCGCACATTAAGTCTTCATTAATATCCAATTTATAGTTGAGTGTTAGTTTTCAGTGCAGAACAATGATTCAACAGCTGTTATTAGTTTTGCTTTTCTTTTATGGCAAAAAAATGTCAAGTTTCAGAAAAATCTTCAAGATGGCTAAATCTTTCTTTATAGGCATAAGCACCGTGTCTAAGAGATTATTAAAGAATTGTACTTCAAACATTTTTTTGGGGTTAAAAAATTGGCACACATTTAGTTTAACTTGCGATGTCATTAATTCTACCAATTCATTTTGTATATTTTTGCCACAATAATGGTCAGCCAACTTACCTTTTATAGCTAATTTGAGATGCTCCTTCATGGCAGGGTCAAACCTTGCCAATAATTGTACAAACCCTAGAAATTTCCCATAATTTAAGGTAAATAATTTATCAGAAGATCATCCCCAGGCGATCCTAAAGCTACTGCTGCCAAGGCCGAGGCAATATTCTAATTAGGAATTATTTCGAATTAAAGAATTATTAATTTGGAAAGAACACAATGTGGCATATGCATATTGGAAATTTTCCACTTTTATAGGGTTGCATAACAAAAATCGAATACGACACCTGTTTTTACACAAACCTCGTTTTTGCTGAGTATTAAAACGCTTTTGGGATAATAACTTCTTTATATGATAATATGATATGAACAAAACTAAAGATAATGAAGAATCGACAAGAATTTTTCTGCGGAGTTGTAAATTTTCGGATTAATTAAGCCGAAGTCGACATTTTTGCTAATATCACCGTTGTTTTTACTCTTTAGAGATAACTAAATAATAAATACATCATTAAAAAGCCTAAATTTTTCTTCATCTACACCTCAAAATCATCAATCTTCAATACTACCATAGAACCGAATTAAAGAATTATTAATTTAGAAAGAACACAATGTGGCATATGCATATTGGAAATTTTCCACTTTTATAGGGTTGCATAACAAAAATCGAATACGACACGTCCTGTTTTTACACAAACCTCGTTTCTGCTGAGTATTAAAACGCTTTTGGGATAATAACTTTTTTATATGATACGAATAAAACTCTAAGATAATGAAGAATCGACAAAAATGTTTCTGCGGAGTTGTAGATGTTTTTATTAATTAAACCTAGATCGCTTGCGGCCGAGGCTCAGTGTAGCGCCTCGGCCTATATTGTAGCGCCTCGTCTTAATTAATACATTTATTTAATTAATTTCTTAATACTTTATTAATACATCTAATAATGCCAAAAACAGTTTTTATACAAACGGAAAAAAATATATCAATGATTAATTTTTTTTATATCAAAGAATGGAAACTAAAATATGTGTGGGAAAATTATTTAATTAAGGTAGAGAAATCAAGATTTTCTACAATTTCATTTTCCATAGAGAACATACATAGGTCTTTATTAATTTTAATTTGAAAAAACTGCGTTCAGCTGCAACTGTTACTGGTATTGTTGGCAGAATATGTAGAGTTATCCAGGTGTTAGGAAACAACTCTTAAAGTGAGTCTTTCAGGTAATGTTGCAGACTCAAGATTTTGTCGCACAATAAGTCTCCATTAATATCCAATTTAAAGTTGAATGTTAGTTTTCAGTGCAGAATGATTCAACAGCTCTTCTTTGTTTTGCTTTTCTTTTATGGCAAAAAAATGTCAAGTTTCAGAAAAATCTTCAAGATGGCTAAATCTTTCTTTATAGGCATAAGCACCGTGTCTAAGAGATTATTAAAGAATTGTACTTCAAACATTTTTTTGGGGTTAAAAAATTGGCACACATTTAGTTTAACTTGCGATGTCATTAATTCTACCAATTCATTTTGTATATTTTTGCCACAATAATGGCCAGCCAACTTACCTTTTATAGCTAATTTGACATGCTCCTTCATGGCAGGGTCAAACCTTGCCAATAATTGTACAAACCCTAGAAATTTCCCATAATTTAAGGTAAATAATTTATCAGAAGATCATCCCCAGGCGATCCTAAAGCCACTGCTGCTAAGGCCGAGGCAATATTCTAATTAGGAATTATTTCCAAAAAAATATTTTTTAATTCTGTTAAAATAAAGAAAATAAAACAAATGTTTTAATGGAACGAAATGAACTTTTATTATATTAATATTTCAATGATTACACAAACAAACATGATTTAAGTTAAATTATTTTTTTAAGAACATTAGAACTAGTAACACATTTAATATAATTAAAAAATAATTTACAAACAAGATAATTTCATTTACATTTAAAGCTATTGGTAGGAAATACTCTTTGGTATTGTGATGATAGCCGCAAAAAATTTTATTTTAATAAAAACAGCATAGTTAAGTGATTTATTATTAAATTCTAGCAAATTATTTAAAAATTGAAAATTCCCATTAAAAATTTCATTACAAAAAATTATTAAATAATATAATAAATTGCATAATTTTTTAATTAAACGAAACGAATAAATATATATCTCAAAAATAGACGAAATTTATGTTAAATTATTTTTTTAACGAACACCAAAATCAGTAACATATTTCATATAATTATAAAAAAATTTGCAAACGCCACAATTTCCTTTGCACTTACAGGTTGGAAATACTTTTTGCGATTGTAATGATAGCCCCAAAAATTTTATTTTAACAGAGGCATAATCAGCACCGTATCGCCTACAGATGTGAGATGTGTCATTAGTCATCACACATCTATGTACGATTTTAGGTAAATGAGTGAGGCAATAGGTTAAATGGCAGTTGCTGCAACCTTTCAAAAATACGATTTCGTTGCAGCCAGCCACCCAACACACCTCTAAAATTCTAGCAGGATTGTTCAAAAAATGTCGACGAAAATCCATGTTAATGGTTTCATTGCTGCGTCTTCTTTGTTGAACGATTGTGCTTACACAAGGTTGGCGAAATACTATTGGAGGGTTTACAACCTAACATAAAAATTAAATACAATTATTAATTTTTTTTTAATTTTATTTTTTTAATACTTACAACATTTTGAGTCACAGTCGAAGGTGTAGCTACAATTGTGGTTTCACATATTTCTGTCTTGATCGTTGGCACAGGATTCGAATTGAGCACACAAGTTGGTTTGACCAAAATTGGTTTGTCTTGTGGCGCGCTAGAAGTAACGGGAGGTGTGTCAGCAGTTT